GAATATTACACTCAAATGTCTCATAACAAATAATTGATGAGGTGCTGATGAATTATAAGAAAATACTGCACCTTATGTGTGCCTTATTTACTAATAATTCGACTGACCACAGTTAAATATTCCGCTTAAACAACAGTTACCAAAACTAAAAGATCCTGTTCATCTATCAGACTTTTGTCCTCTAACTGCTGCTGTGTGTTGTACAAACTTCTCATCCGAAGTTTGTGTTCATCTCATCCGAATAGTCCAGTGTTAATATTTTTGCTGTGTTGTAACTGAAATCATTCAGTGTAGTGATATGGAACTATAATGCCATCAAAACCTGGCTTGAACTACTTTAGCTGTGAGTTTAAATGAAAATAACAGCACACCTTGGACTGTTCATCAGCCGCTCAGAATCAAGAATTAAACAGCCCACTAGAAATGAAGTTTTAAGTATTAAGGTTTCTGAAATCACATGCCCTGCTACAATATAGTATGAGAAAAACAGAATGTGAGCAGAGTGATATGTCCGAATTTATAGAATTAGAAAAATAAGTCAAGTAGAATCTGAATTGCCTTCTACTTCTGGCAATATTATAGATAGCGGATTCAGTGGACTGATGTTATGTATGAAACTGAAGCTTCACAACAACAAGTATCGGGGTGTGTACTGGTTTCCCAGTCACATGATCAACGGCTAATTTGATTATCGCTTTTTGTCAAATAACGTGCATTTTAATTTGTATAAAGTAGGAATTCTTTATGCGGTTTACCACAAAATAAGTATTTTTGAAGAAAATGAGAATCCTGTAACTATTGACTTCCATAATATTCGTTTTTGCTAGTATGGAAGTCAATGGTTACTGGCATTCAGGTTTTATCAAAATATGTAATTTTGTGTTTAAAAAAAAAAAAAAAAAGAATAAAAAATTATAGGGGTTTGAAACCAATTTAAGGAGAGTAAAAAGTATGTTTTGGGCTAACTATCCTTTGTACACAAACGTTTAGATTATTTTAAGTAAGCACTAGATGGCACTGCTCTCAACACGCTCTCAAAGCTTTAAATCTTTTCTGAGAACAGTGAAAAGAAAGCCTCAGTGCTCTACTTGGCTGCATTTCCCCATGCCTAATAGACAATACTACTATAATATCCCATTAGGCCATGTAAGACTATTTATAAACAGGATTGAAGCAAAACAACTGACGTAGGTAGGTCATACGTTAGCATTAATGTCAAATGGTCAATTTAATAAGATGGACAGTAGCTCGGACAATCGGCTTTGAATAGAGGAGTAGAAATCTCTCAGATTAACTTAAAAATGCCATCAGTTGTGTTCCAGAGATGAACAAACTGTTTATGGGTTTGAAGCAACATGATTAAATGGTGACAAAGATTTCATTTTGGGGTAAATGATAAAAATAGAAATGATTAAATGAAAACTTTATGGTACTTAAATTAATTTAACCATTTAATATGTTCTTTTACGTAGTTTTTTTTTAAAGCTAAAAATCATATTTATTATTTATTTAGCAAAAATGTGCGAATAAAACTGAATTCTTCATGTTTTTGCTTGAGTTCAATACTAGCTCTAGATAAATTCAAATAAACAAATAATTTAAAGCTATAAAAATAAATTAGATAACATCTCACTTTTTGTCTTTCAATATTTGCTGCACTAAAATGCCATTTAAATAATCTAAATAAATATTTTAATCTTGTTTTAATCTTTACTTTGTACTAATGCAAACATACCACATCAAGTAACATAGATAGATGTCCCAGCTTCAGCTCTCCTGCTTTATGTGGCTCCAGAATGGAGAATGAATACACATCTCCAGACTTATCTGCCACATAGAGTTCGTCCTCAGCTTGAGTAAATGCAAGAGAAGTGCACCGCCGCACAACCCACCTGCAAGAGGACAATCATACACTTATTCAGAGAAACTAGCATTACAGGATCGCTCATCATTTAATAATGTAGTGGGGTAAAGATGGTTTTCTATTCACACACTCAGACTTTCAACTTCTTAATATTTTTTTTAGAAATGTATTCTTTGAAAATTGTAATGAGAAAAATCATATTATCAGCCAAAGACTATAAAACTACAACATTGTTCACAGTCAATTATTTATTGCTAATGTTGTTTTGAAGTCATACTTGCATGTGATTTTAGACCACATATTTAAAGTAGCATGCTAAATAATATAGAGACCATGTCACAAGTTGTCACTTTGTTAATTTAAAAAAAAAAAAAAAAAAAAAAAAAAAAAAAAACTAGCATTTTAGCCAACTACTGCTGTAACGGTGCATATCACTCGCATTATCGTTCAAATTAGATTTTATAAAATTGATCACTATATTTTTAACTTAATTATACTTTAAGAGTTTATATGTTGGGATTACATTTAAGCAAGAGCAATCATTTCAGAAACATGAGAATTGAGGAATTTAACCATGATAAAAGTTTATCATTTCCATCCGTTTTTAAAACCTGTGACTTTGCATTCAGGCAAAAGAAGTCATACATTTTGTAAGTTTAACAATGTTGTATTTTATTAACTATTTACAATGAAGATTATACAGTGTTTTTGCATATGGTTATTCAATTTCTGAAAACTGTTTGGCCCAACAGAAAACCAAAAAGCACTGTCTTTGTTTCTCTTTATAATAATGTGTTTATCAATGCTTTAGAATTGTTTATTATATTTTACAAACGATTCACACCCAAAAACCCTCAATCTGTCTAAATTAATGTTTTTTTTCCCCCTAAATAGAGCTATTCAAGCTATCTGGTGAAATTACTATTATATATTATACTAATATATATTGCAGAAAAACAAAATATCGTAATGTCAGATTTTTTCAATATCATGCTGCCCTAATAAGCGTGTTTATCAATGGTTAATACACTCAGTTACAGATGCAAATATAATTGTAAAAGTATAATCAATAATATACACATGCTGATATATTTGAATTTATTGAATTTACAGACAATATTAAAATATAATTGTAATATGGTCATTAGAGTAAATCTTTTTGTATAGGCCTTTTTAAATAAGCATTACTTTTTTTCCTTTTATTAAATGCAAAGTCTGAATGTGTAAATATAAAACATACTTCACCTCAACCATTAATGTTACTACAAAACTTATCCGTCTTTCGCTCTGTTTGTAAATAATGTTCAGTTTCTTGCACATTTTGCTTCACAAGACCTCAAAGTATCATCAGAATCCACTGTATTAATTGTGTTTTGCCTGCATAGGTTATCTGTTGACTTGCAGTTTACAAATCAACAAGGATCACAGATTCAGCTTAAAATCTTCTTTAAAGGGCAGTACATTCAAATCTGAATATTCTGTCATCGTTAAGATTTTGTTTCAAAGCTTTCTGAGCTTCTTTCATGTGTTGAACACAAAAGAAGATATTCTGAAGAATGCTGAAAACCTGTAACCACTGACTTCAATATTTTTTGTTTTCGTACTACAGAAGCCAATGGTTACAAGTTTTCAGTTTTCTGCAAAACATCTTTTTTTTTTGTGTTCAACAGAAGAAAATAACTAACAAAGATTTAGAACCACTTGTGGGTGAGTAAATAGTAAGTACATTTTCATTTTTGGGTGAACTATGCTATTAATGCTTTACTAAAGAAGAAAAAAAATCCTCCACATTTTGGATAAAGAGAGTGTGAAATTTACAGTATATTAGCATTTTTGAGTATCTATCCCCCTTTAAATACCTTCTGGATTAAATGTGTGCTGTTACCGTGTACTAATGCACTTCCATGATGGTTCAGTGCAGAAGAGAACAAGTCGTTTGTGATCATCCGTAAGCGCTACATGCTTTCCAGATGCTGAGATGGCAAACGCAAGGATACTGTCACTGTCCTTCTCTTCTGATCCCTCCCCAGCACTGCAAAGCAAAAATATGCATGAATAAGACACTTTTCCCATTATCTCATTTTCTATTAATGATTGAATCATCAGAATACAACAACTAAAAAAAATATTAGTTACCTTTTGTTATCAACATCAGCTTCTTTAGGTTTTTTCTCAGCTTTGGAACAGTCAAACACAAAAGGCTCTCTATCCAAAATAGTAAAACAATAATAGTTTTACTTACAAAAAAAAATACACAAAAGTACAAGTGTCAAGTATACAGTACATAGAAAGACAAAGTATAACCAGGTGTCACTGCTCTTAAGATTAGTAAGACATTTAATAACGTAATCATTTGATAAGAATGGACAACAGAAAACGAACAAAACTATACAAATAAGCTCAGCTCCAGTGGACCAAGGACAGTTAAATTAAGAGGACTGAAGATAAATAGAATTAAACATCAATATTACCAAAAACAGAGCAACATTTAGAAACTAAAATGACTATTCGTGTAGAAATCAAATGAAAAATGAATTGTGTAAACTTCGAAGTACAGTATTAATGATATGTGTACAACCCCATAAATATGGCATCCAAAACCCCAAAATTCATTAGGTAAACAAGCAATAGCACATGTCAGGGGAAGTTACAAATGTGAATGCAGAAATTCTGCTGACACGTCACATTCTCTACCATACATCAAAAATATATACGTAAAATGAATAAACAATATTCAGCATAAAATACAGCACTCACCTAGACTGCTTAAGGTTTACAGCAACTAAAGTAGTAGAACAACTTGTAACAAACCAGTCAGCTTTTGAACACACTACAGCCATGTTGAGTGTTGTTCACGTGCGAACTGACAGTCGCACATTTAACACGTCATCAACGTAAAACCACTGGAATCTGGCATGGTGAACCCGCCATTATGAGTGTACCGGAAAAAAACCTTTTTAAAGTCATTTTTATTAATCCTTATAGTTAAGTATTGTTATGAATTATTAGCATATTGTTTCGCTTGACACATTCCATCGTTAGACTGGATGAAACAACACCAAATTCTGAATGAACATGATTAGAGTCATTTGAGTTGATGTTCAGGAGGAGGAGGGGGTGTGTTCGTTATTATGCAAGGGCGGTACTTTAATGTGCTTCTGTGCACCATACTTGTCAGTTTACACGTTTTTACTTTTCTGCAATCTTTTTTGGGATTTTAAACTGTCGTTTGTTGCAATTTCTCAAAGTAGTTTTGATTTGAAGATTTTAGTCAGGTAACTTTTTATTAGTATCATTGATATATGCACAAAAATACAATCAAGATGATTTTCATAAGCAGCTATGTGACTTTTCTGTTTTATTATTATTGCTATTTATCATGTATATAAGAAACATTAATGTGCTAACGTGAGCTAGCTTTACGTTACTCTATGCAAATTCTCTATTTCTGTGCTGTTTGCTGTATAAATAACAATTCCGAGGTAAATGTTTCCTTATGTAAACTACAGTTCCATATTTCTAAACAGTGGTCGCACGAATTTTATTGACGATATCAAATATTTATAAATACATAACTGTCAACAGTGATTCATGCAGCTGTTTTTCTTTCTCAATAGGTTTCTGCAGTAAAGATGGCAGCCTCTTTGCTCAGGGTAGGACGGCTCGGATCTCTGAGGGTAAATACATTGCTTTTTGCGGAATTTTCGACAAAATGCCTGCACTTTATAACGCATTTACATGTATTATACCACAAAATTTTTCTTCTTTTAACGGAACAAAGCGAAGTATACGAGTGCTTTTGTGAACACGCTAACACAGCTCTAATGTTATCACTGGAGCATTTAATCCTGACTAGACGCATGAATGCCTCCTTTTGTCCTGTATTGACACGCAGGACATTATTTACATGAAGTATTTCTAATAATAAAATGTGCATTTACTCGGGTATTGATCAGTTATATTGCATTAGAGATTAAATATTCATTTTCTTTAATAATTGATGCTTATTTTATCCCACATTAAAATAGATAGTAAATACTGTTATGTCGTTTAATCCTACCATAGTAAAGTGTATTATAATGTGTTTACAAGTCTTTGTTAATGATTGCTAGCATAGTGTGGTATAAATCTAATGAACTGCAATAAATACTGTAATATACTGTGGTGTAGTATAATATATTAGTATTATATAATTTGATTATGTTACTAGAGTTACAGCTTTAACATCGTGTATAGAATTGTCACAACAGATTAGGTGCTTAACTATTGTTTGGTTCAAAACACACAGTATTTACTATAAATTACTATAGTATTTTTTCATGTTTGTTGGTTATATTTTCATAAAGTGTACCTGTAGATTGCCTTATTATATTTGGTTGAGTGTCTCCTGAAAAACCAGTCCTCCCTTGAGAACACTGTGTACTTTTTTGTTGGCATGTTAATTTGACACCACATCAAACCTTTTTGACTTATTATTATTATTATTTTTTTTGCTAAATTAACTGCACTATAGTGTGATTCCAAGTAGGAGTTTGTCGTTGTGTTTTGAAATCTAGTTTAAGCTTGGGTATTTTGTTGTCAGTGTATTCAGACGGAGAGCTGGAGTTCCTTCAGTAGAGCTCCTCATGCTGCTGCTTTTAGCTCAAAATCTGGGGACAACAAGAAGTCAAAAAAATCCAACAAAGGTAAATCTTCCTTATACACATCATATCAGTTTTAATATAACATCTGCCTTTAATTTGGGGGCAGAAGGTTTTGTACTTCAGATCTTGATGGAAATTGAGGTTGAAGTAGTTCAGGGGAATGTGGTCTCTGATCCCAGCTGTTGCTTCTGCTGGAATGTGTTTTATTTCCTTCTGTCCAATTGTGTCTTGAAGGTTAAATGACATGCCAGTTAGCATATGAGCACTAAAAGGCAAAGATGTACTACTGCATATTTTCTTAAGTGTAAAAAAAAACAATGACTTTATTATCTAATTTCCTAGCATTGTTTCTGGTCTGCAAGATTCTCAGCCAATAGGTTATGCTTTTAAACTCGCATAAAATGAAAGATAAACAACATGGTGATCAGTGTTCAGTGCATATTTTGCTATTATGGTGAATTCTAAAAATGCATTAATGGAAAAGAAATATTCGTTGTGAGTCATTTGTTTATTGTAGTGGTCAGTTATACGCTTTAGTGGTCACTAATAAAGAAATGTGTGAATCTTGAATGCAGTGAATGACCAATTTCAGACAAGTAATCTGATATTTTAAGCATGTAATGAGGTAATATAATAATGATACGTTTGTGCAGAATACAGTGTATTTGAAATAGGTGAAATTGGAAATATATCTATATATATATATATCCAATCAGGACTTTTGCAGCCAATACCGAGTACCGGTTCTGATGCCTCAAGCTTTATATAACTTTTTCATTTGCATAGACATATTTTCCCTAAATGTATGAGAACTCTGCTTACCTAAGAAAGTAAATAAAAGATGTTGTATACATTTAATGGTCAGAAGCAGCTTTAAAAATAAAAAAAATAAAAAAATACTAACGATACAATTTAGAAACATGTATATTTATTATATATATATATATATATATATATATATATATATATATATATATATATATATAATAGGCCTGTCACAAATGATCAATATATTGACTTAACCTGCAATACAGCTCAATAATGTTTGGTGTTGCTATATATATTCTCAAATAACGTTAAAGCCATTTCATTCTACCTCACCATTTTCAAAGTTAATAATTGGACATATACTTGATAGGATACACGATAAGATTTTACTTTTTTAACATCAAATTATAGAATCTAAATAACCTTAAAATCTAAAGGACCCTATCATACACCTGGCGCAATAAAGCGCAAGACGTGTTTGGTGTAATGCGTTGATATTTTCAGACCAGCGCAACTCTATCTTTCACGTTTTGTGCCAAGTTATTTAAATAGCAAATCCATTGCACCACTTTGTAGACTCATGGGTGTGCTGGTCTAAAAAGGAGGTGTGTTAGGGCGCATTGTTGGCACGTTACTATTTTGAGGAACTAAAATAGACTGTGCAATAGACCAGCTGAAAGCAGGTCTAAAGTCCAGAGCAGAACGTGTTAGTTGTGCGCCTTAAACGCAAACATTGCTGTAAACATGAATAGCAATAGACAATTATCTTTACAAATGAAAAAGAATTAAAGGATTCAAATATTACAAAAATTATCACTTTCTACATAAATATAAAAACCACCGCCTTCATGCCTTCTTCATCTCTGGGGATTTTTTTTAGTTTATTCATGACTATTAGCTATTGTATGATATTCTTATTAGTAGTATTTTTAATTTTATGTATATTTATGTTTGTTTAATTAAAAACAAGCTTCGATTTGTCCATCTGTCCATATGGGGTATAGGACGTGTGTTTGGATTATAGGTGGGCATAGATTATTTTTTTTTGTCTGGATTAATCTCACTGTAATTTCGGAATTAATCTTGATTAATCTAGATTAAAATGGCTCATTTGAATTCTGCCGAAGGCGTTCAGAATATGTGTGCTACCCAAGTAATAAGTCTTTGAAATTAGGTTTCTCAAGTCAGGTTTCGCATTAGACCAGGGGCTCATCTCCGGTTTCCAAAATGCATCACAAACAGCTTTAGAAACTGTTCTACTATGATAATTGGTAATAAAATAAACTATGTTCAATAAGATGTAGTTGTGTTTACTAACTGTTTATTCAGTTAAACATGAATTTTGAACTGTAGGCCTACATAAGCTCCAAACAACGATATATATATATATATATATATATATATATATATATATATATATATATATATATATATATATATATATATATATATATATATATATATAATTTTTTTTTTTTTTTTTTTATCACCTTAATCCAACTAAAGTTACTAAACAGAAATGGAATTAAGACATGTGGAGTATGCATATATTAGTGGCATTATTGAAGTAAACACCGTAATCAAACTATAACCATCATGGAGGACTTTTCCCCATATTTTCCGACAAGATTTCTACACACGCAGATGTCAGTAAAGGACTGCACACACACACACACACACACACACACACACATTCTTCAACACTCTAACCAGTACTCCTTATTTGCGTCTATTACCACAATTTGTCATGGCGGCATGAATGAAATGTTCATGATTAAAGTGAAACTGCTGAACTAGAGTTGAAGTCAGGCATCTTGCTGATTTGATTCAGAAGGGAACTTTTTTTGCCAGATGGCTCACCGGTCAGGTATACATCTGCGGTAAAATATCAAGGTGAAAATCACCATAGCTTGCGTAGAATGGACCCAGCTCCCAACCCAACTTTGAGATTAGATTTACGGAGATATTTTTTTTATCACAGCAACGTTAACGTCGATAACGGCACACCACTAGTTTGGATATATAACTCTGTTTACTGCCCACATTTTGCTATTATTGTTCATTCTGCTGGAAATTTGAACTGAATTTGAATTAGTTTTGAATCAAATCTTTGCGCTAAACAAACTAAATTAACTATGTAAACTAATGGATGGTTTGCGTTTTCACCATTTTCTTATCCACAAAAGTGGAGAAAAAGAGAGATGTCTAATGGAGGAGGATCATTCTTTATCCTTGCGCTGCAGATGGTCTGTTTAACTGTTATATCGGTAGTGAAACGTTCCGTTTTTCCACTTACAAAGTCCGCCTTGTAAATGGCAGATGCGCCATGGTGCGACACAACTGACTCTTAAATGGAATGGTTGATGAGGCTCTGATTGGTTTATGCTCAAAACACGCCCATAATTCATAAAACGCATAACATTCTTAAAACACACCCATAACTAAGAGAATAAGCACGACCCTGTTAGACCATGCGCAGCGGCGCAAAACGTATTTTGTCCATCCTTAAAATAGCAAAAGTAGATTTGTACACCCCCTTTATGCTTTTGTGCCCTGCACTTTAGACTTTGCATCTAGATCGTTTAAATAGAGCCCAAAGTCTTTCTCCCTTAAATGTGTTAATGGCTATTTTCATTATTTTGCTTTATTATGCATAATATCCTTTATTGCATCCATTTCTGTGACAATATATCGCACAACAAAATTTTTTTATCGTGACAGGTCTAATATATATATATATATATATATATATATATATATATATATATATATATATATATATATATATATATATATATATATATATACATATACATGCATACATATACATGATCTTTTTTTTATAAATTATAATGATATATAATTTTAATAATATAACAAATACTATAATTTTGTTTTATAAAAGGTTGTCATATCCAATATTGTATGACTATATTTCAGAAACGGGTAAATTGTCAACATTAGAATTTTGTGCAGACATTTGGAATTGACTGGCTGCATACAAAATTAAAGAATTGGAGCAGAATTTCCTTAAATCGATGTACCAGCATCATTTTTGTAGAAACATCATATCATTTCTGGATAATTGATCACATTTATAAATTCCTGGTATTGCACCAGAAAAAAAAATAACTTTATGAAACAGAAATTAATTTCCATGTGCAGCAAAAAATCTGCTTTTTTCTGCTTTTTTTATTTAAAAGTGGATTATTGAATGTGTGAGATTAAACTTAAAATGTAATTTTACGTAAGAAAATAAGAGTTGTATTGCATGGTACCAACTGACTAACAATTAATATTGATAATTAATATAAAACCATATAACAGACACAAATGCATGTTTTTTCTAAGATTAGGATGTTGTCGCAATTTAAAGGAAACTATTAAACTTTTAATTATCTGTGTTCTCTGATGGTGGAAGGCTTTAGAAAAGCCTTGTGTGGTGTTTACTGGCAGATATTCTTTGTAAGCACATGCTAGTGCTATATGTGGATGTCCTCACTTCCTATATAGGTCACCTTGACCTTTGGAGTTAAAGAATGTATTGCGTGAAGCCACTGCTTCTGTTCTTTCTGGGGACTCTGCTGAAGCCAAAAATCCAAGAAATTATTTAACAAACTTTGAATTGAACATAGTTACATAAATATGAAAACACATGTTCTAAAACTCACAAATTATAAACAATGTTAATATTAGGATCTGTATTTGTATTAATTGTAATGTTCATGTGCTGGTACCATGTTTGATTCCCATATTTTGTGTAACAATAGTGTCATCTACTTTAGGAGAGTTATTGGCTATAAAAATCATGGTAAAATATAAGAATAATATGAATATAGCTACAACAATTACGGAATTGTGCATTTTGTTATATGTTATGATTTTCCATTATTACAAAGATATTTAATGTGCAATATTTTTACCAACAGATTTTAATTAAAAGATAGATAACTGAATGAAGAATGTTTAGCTTTTTTCCTGCCAAGGCTATTTTATTAGCCACCATTTAGATTTGACATGCATAAGTGAGGTCATAAGGTGTTCAAAGCTCGACCACCTCGCCACTCTAACTGGGTAAGTTATTTTGCTGGATGAATTTAACAGTCTCCATGCACCCTGATAATGCATATGATAAATCGAATTATTACATGTTTATGTTTGCCCTCCTTCCTCCATCATAGAAAAAGCAGCATCAAAAACGTACTTCGATATAGAGAAACTTATCCAGCACAAATCCTTTGTGGAGTTCCCCAAGAAGGAGGTTGCAGCTTCTGTTGCTGCTGCCTCTACAGAAGCATCTGCTGCTGCCCCTGCACCTGAACCAGTCCTGACTGCCACTGCAGCTCAAACTGCTGCCCCTGCACCCGAAGCCATTTCTCCTGTTGAAGCCATTTCTCCTGTTGAAGCCATTTCCCCTGTTGAAGCCATTTCCCCTGTTGCTGAAGAAATTGCAGCCGCTGCCCCTGTAGTTGAAGCCGCTGCCCCTGTAGTTGAAGCCGCTACACCAGTTGAAGCCGCTACCCCTGTAGTTGAAGCCGCTGCACCAGTTGAAGCTGCTGCTCCAGTTGTTGAAGCCGCTACACCAGTTGAAGCAGCTGCCCCTGTAGTTGAAGCCGCTGCCCCTGTAGTTGAAGCCTCTGCGCCAGTTGAAGCTGATGCCCCTGTAGTTGAAGCTGCTGCGCCAGTTGAAGCTGATGCCCCTGTAGTTGAGACTGCTGCACCAGTTGAAACTGATGCCCCTGTAGTTGAAGCTGCTGTGCAAGTTGAAGCCCAAGTTGAAGCCACTGCACCAGTTGAAGCCCAAGTTAAAGCCACTGCACCAGTTGAAGCCCAAGTTGAAGCCACTGCACCAGTTGAAGCCGCTGCACCAGTTGAAGCTGCTGCGCCAGTTGAAGCCCAAGTTGAAGCCGCTGCACCAGTTGAAGCTGCTACGCCAGTTGAAGCTTCTGCTTTTGCAGTTGAAGCCACCCCTGTAGATGAAGCTCCTGTCTCAGAAGCAGTTGTTGAAGCTGTCAGTGAAGAGGTTGCAGAAGCTGTGGCAGAAGCTGCCCCAGTTGCAGAGGCCATCATTGAAGTAGTTGCAGAAGCAGCCCCCATTGAGCCGGTTGCAGTTGCAGCTCCTTCTGAAGAGCTGGTAGATTCTGCTCCTGTGATCACAGATGCTGCTGAAGCTCCAACAGAAGTTGTGGAGACGCCTGAGGGTACACACTATATCCCCTATAACCCCCCTTCACATAATGGGATACAGCAGTGTTTTTTCTTTTTTTGTTTTCGGGTTTAATACATACACATTTGTAATGTTAACGGTAAAGGTGTAATCTCAGATTTAGTTAAGTTTTATATACCTGTACCTTCTTCATTTCTCAGTCACATTATTATGTGTCATGTTCTCGTGTCATTGCAAATGTCTAGCATACATGCAAAGAACATTTAGGGGTGAAACGGTTCATTAAAAACGAAACTTACAGTTCAGTATGCATACGTACCATCTAAAAACATCTCTAAACATGTAAATAATAACTGTTTTTTAATAACTTTGTTTATATTAGTGTAGCAGTTCATTATGCAACATTTTGTTAGCAATCTGCCTAGCATATGATTAATTATTAGAGATGTTTCTCAAAATCCTAGAGCTCTATTTTAATGATCTAAGAACTGGATCTAAATCACATGGTGCACTTGAGGTGTGTCAGAATAAAATTTTTTGCTATTTTAAGAATGGGAAAAACTATTGGTGTGCCTAGCGCATCGTCTAAAAGAGTTATTCTTATTCTCTTAATGAGTTATGGGTGTATTATACCAATAAGTAACTCATCCCCTATTATCTTTAAAAGGGAATTGCGGTTGGACCATGTTGGATTCACTATTTACATGGCGGACTTTGTAAGCGTAAAACTTTTTTAACTAATACACAATTTGAATAACAAACAAACAAACAAAAAACTGCATCATTGACTTTAGACCAGATTTTAGTTAGTCAGTGGCTTTTAGTGTGTCTAAAAAGCACTGTGGAGAGCACTACAGTGTCCGGAAATTGCCACTGAGAGCCTGTAAACAGAAACTTGCAATGATTCTTCTTATTAGTCCACTGCTTTGAAGCTGACACTGATGAGCGAAGCTGATTGTAAAAGTTGAAGTTCTTTAAATTGGACATGGCATTCAACACTCATTTAACCATTGATGTGTTGTGCATGACAAGTATGACATTGATTGTAATAATTAAAGTAAGTACTGGATAATTAAACCTGTTTATTTGTATATAAGGCGATGCAGTTGCACAGTAGGTAGTGCTGTCACCTCACAGCAAGAAGGTCACTGGTTCAATCCTCATACGTCGGCGTTTCTGTGAGGAGTTTGCATGTTCTCCCTGCGTTCGCATGGGTTTACTCCGGGTGCTCCGGTTTCCCCCACAGTCCAAAGACATGCGGTGTGTGGATGTTTCCCAGAAATGGGTTGCGGCTGGAAGGGCATCCGCTGCATAAAAATGTGCTGGATAAGTTGGTGGTTCATTCCACTGTGGCGACCCCAGATTAATAAAGGGACTATGCCGACAAGAAAATGAATGAATGAATATTTGTATATAATTGCTTCAGCCATAGGCGACGCAGTGGCGCAGTAGGTAGTGCTGTTGCCTCACAGCAAGAAGGTCACTGGTTCGAGCCTCCGCTGGGTCAATTGGCGTTTCTGTGTGGAGCTTGCATTCGCGTCGGTTTCCTTCGGGTGCTCCGGTTTCCCCCTTAGTCCAAAGACATGCAGTACAGGTGAATTGGGTAGGCTAAATTGTCTGTAGTGTACGAGTGTGAATGAGTGTGTATGGATGTTTCCCCGAGATGGGTTGCAGCTGGAAGGGCATCTGCTGCGTAAAACGTGCTGGATAAGTTGGCGGTTCATTTAGCTGTGGCGACCCCGGATTAAAAAAAAGGGACTAAACCGAAAAGAAAATGAATGCTACAGCCATTCTAAACCTTTTAAACTTACTGTAATTGAGTAATTAAATTACTGAAATGTATAAGCTGAACTGTAACAAATAGCGGTATCAAAATGCTGATACAAAATGGGACATTAAGAAACCGTTACACCCTTAATGGGTTCATAACATCATGCAGAAATGTAGACGTATTGAAGGCTATATTCATTTTCCTAGCTGGGGTATAGAGACAACTTTTGTCCTGATGGTTTTTAATTAAGTGTAATTTCAATTATTGCCTTGGTTTTCAGTCAATGAATATAGCCAATCTCCCCATCCGTCATCCGTCTTTGAGCATGTCTATTATATATGTTTGTTTGTAACTTTTTTTTTTTTTTTAATCCTGTAAGTTATGCAATGCATGTTCTTTACTGCAAAACCTCAGTTATATTTATTTCTGTTTCTTTATCTCTCATGTGTTTTGGTCTTCATCTGTACTGTTCATTCACTTATTCATCATTTCATATGTTGACCTTGTGTGCTTCTCCTGTCTTCCATTTTATTCGTTCACTGACATCTTTTGTCTTCGTTTAGTCTTTGTATTCATTCATTATGTGTGTTATTCTGTGTTTCTCAGTGAGTAATTGTATTTACCAGGGCTGTCAATTTAACAGATTTAGTACACTGAGAAAAGAGCCTCAGGTGCTTTTTACACTAGTGTTTTTTCTTTTTTAGTTTGATAAGAAAAAACTGCTTTCTCAGACTGGCGTTTTATTGAATTTCAGAAAAAACAATCTCCGGTTACACTATAGACCTTATTCAATATGTATGGGTGCATGGGCGCCGCCATTACATTCATTCACTTCCATTGATTTTCTGATGTTAAAATCAACCTGTTATGCTGCTTGAAGTTGCAAACTGATATTTTCTTATTATATTATTCTACTTTTTATGTATAAGCATGAACACACATATATGTAGGGCAAGTAGTTTGACAATTTTCTGGCATTTATTTTGCATAGTAATTTCTATAGGCAATCATAGGGAATTGAATTGGAAGTTCTTAAACAATCGCAAAAACAAGCATCCTTCCGCATTAGATAAAGGTCAATACAGTGTAAAATGGACAATACTTGACTATCTTACTTGGCATGCCCATATTTTACCAGCATTCGTTTTTGCTGTCTGCTGGTTGTTAAATGGTCATATGAGAGTAGCTTGGCGAATTAGGACACAATACAAATGCAGAAAACCAATCAGAGAGCGATTGTGGATAGCCACGCCTCAGTTTTTTGCGAATCAGTTCGTCTACCCTGGTTAGTATTGCCAAGGTTTTCAAAACGTTTTTGCGGATCAAAGATCCTGAAGTATTATGGAGACCAGGCATAACGTGCGTTTTAAAACTAAAATGCGTTAGTGTAAATCAGGAGTTCTCAACTAGTTTGTTCATGGGAAATTTTACAAAATTTTACATGGTCATCAAGCCATGACCCAAATTTTTAGGAACTACAATAAAATTTTAGGAATTATAATTAATTTGTATTTATTTGTTAACATACAAGTAGTGACTGATTAATCATAAGAAAATCACCAAGGCTTACAAATAAACAATATTTTATTTAACAAAATGTATCAAATTATAGAAATATTACAGTAAAGTAAAAACGACAAATACTGTAAACAGTGGTTAGGGTAAGGAAAGGTTCAGTTACCATGAACTAAACTGAACTGTTAATAAAACATGTCTGGTTTCTAAATGTCGTCTTTATTTAAAAGGTTTCATGCTCTCTTGTGAGAGCACCTCACTACATATGACATGTCTTTTTTTTGTCAATATATGTAAATCCATACTTTACATATTCAGGGTTGTACTTGCGCGTTGACATATTTGTTGCTATAATTAAATTAAATATCCCGTCAAACAGTAGGGTTGTCGTGCACGCATTAAAAAAAAAAGTTAAAATAAGTTAAAAATTAAACTTTTGTTGTTTTTTTTGACCACTCACTCCGTGACCCACTGAAAATTTTGTGGGTCGCGACCCATCAGTTTTGAAACACAGGTGTAAATGACACCTTGTTGTTCAGCAAACAAGCAGACAGAGACTGCTGAAGAATTCAATTTAGGTGTCGGAAATGCATCTTTCAGGAGATCAGTCAGAAAATATACATCATAAAACAAGTCTGTCTTTGTATTTTTAGGTGAACCTAGGCCAAATATAACCAAATGCGCCAAAAAAGAAAGAAGAAATATGTAATCATTTTACAACTCAAAAAAAAATAGTTTTCATCTATAAATCTGTAAATCTCATTGTTAAAACGTATGATGAGTCACAAGTGCTAAAGCTAATTGCTAATAATATTTAAAATGCTAATAATTCATGCAACAATTTTACTTGTGCAATTTAAAGGCCTAATGAGCTTAACCAGGCTAGTTAGGGTATTTAGACAAGGCATTGGACAACAGTGGCTCATTCATTAATAAAGAGACTACTAATATTGACCATGGCGGTAAAAAAAATAAATAAATAAAATAAATTAATAAAAAAAAAATTATATATATATATATATATATATATATATATATATATATATATATATATATATATATATATATATTACAGCCAACTTAAAAGGAATAATACTTTGCTCAAAATACAAATATAATAGGAAATACTGTGAAAAATCATATTAATAAATCAATGTTTACCCTTGCTCTGTTAAACATCACTTGAGAATATATATAAAATAAAATATACAAAAAATCCATAAATCAAAGCAATATAGTGACTTTTAAATCAAATTTTTTAACGAATCGTTCAGTGCTTAATCTCACCTCTTATAAAGCAGGCAATATGGTAAAGGAGATTGAGTAAGTGTTCTGTGCTTAATCTATCACAGAAAATTGTTCATGAATCAGTCTACAATATAATAAAAATATTTAACGAGTTATGTGACAGCCCTGTTATTTACAATTGTACTATTTTGCCTCAACAGTTTTTCATTCCAACCCCCCATCTGTAAAGATAAAGCTACGTTTGTCATGTTTTATTACAGTTAATGAAAAGTGTCACTGTCAGAACTATCAGATGTTGGCGTTTCTTTTCTTTTATTGTTAAATATACTGTATAAATTTAAAATCCTCACCACGAGAGCACTGATGTGAGCACATATGCACTTTTATGTCTTTTAAACAGCACAATTGTAACTGCACTTTAACCTCGTCTTTCTTTCCCCTTGCTCTTTCCTCACCCAAATGCACTTTTTGTTCTGTCACTGTCTCACTTTTCTTCCCAGGGGGTCGCATGATATCAGTATTATCGGCCTATTATCCTCTTATCTTTACCTGTGTACTGTGGTTTATATGTGAAATATGAAATGTCCTCCGTTCCTTACCAGCTTTTCCAATGTGGTGTACGGTGCATTGAGTGAGATTTGAGTTTGCACTGTTTGCTGTATGTGGAATGGAAGCAACGGTTTATTAAAAGATGCAAAATTGTATGACTGCTCAAATTAATAGTCACTAGCTATATTTCCATCCACCTTTTTTATGTGCATTTTGGAATATCGCATCAAAAGTCCTTAATGGAAACACCATATATTTTGAAAATATCCATAAAAAAAGTGTATTAGGATATTTTTGTAGAAGTCTATTAGGACATTTATTTATCAGATGTGCATTAACTTCAAATTCGCCCCTAAGAAACGAGACACCATGGCTGCATTTGAAATCGCATACTTCCATAATATACAATACACTAAAAACTGTGCAAGCTGAATAGCATGTCCAAATGGGGTAAATGCACATGGACTTTTAATTTCAGTCCACCAGCCCCAGGGCTTCCGGTGAATTGTCATCCCATACAAAATCACAGCGTTTAAGATCTGATTTCTTTTTTTTTTTTAAACTGCGATCTTCACTGTCTGGCCAAGATGAAATATAAAGTGTATCAGACCAACAGGTAGCACTGCATTAATCCAGCGGTTTCCAACAGGTTGGTCCCGGCCCACAAGGGGGCCTCAGCAAGCTCTGTGGGAGTTCGTGTCATATTAAAAAAAAAAAAAATAGCAGTGGACAGGAGAATGATCTTAGTTCATTTTATCCCCTGGCTGACCAAAAAAAAAATTGACAAATTTGTAATTCGTACTCCACAAAAAATGTGTTACCAATTCCCCTTTAGCAGCTACTGGTAATGACCCAAGCATAGTAGACCAGGGTGACATTTCGGGTCACAGCACTTGCACTACTGGAAACACCAAGATCGTTACCCGAGCAATTTTTATTTTTTTTTTTTCTCAAAGCAAAGAGTCCCTGACCCAGCCACAGTGCAATATCTGCACCAAAGTTTTTGCTGACGAATGCAAGAGACAGTCCAAACTAATAAGACATTTGCAGACCACTCATCCCCAATACAGCATGGTGTACCCAATACAAATGGCTTATTGATGTTTTGCTTTTATATTTTACATAAGGCTATTATTTATGCATAAAAATATCTAGACATAGTAATAAACAAATCGTCTTTTTTGTCATACCTACTGCTTACTGTAATGTGAAAAAACCTTATATTTTTGCATCTCCTTATTCGGGTGTGCAGTCATGTAGCTAGTGTATTTTGTGAAATTTGCGTACCTCTTCATTTTATGTGTGGTCCTGGAAAATCTCAGTTTCAAAGGCTATCTAGCCCTGCTCCTTGGTCCTAAGCCTTCAAGACAATTGGGACACCCCTATCCTTTCACGTGAACACAAGGGGTTAAAAAACAGGTGTCAATTCCAGTTCCTGGAGGGCCGCAGTTCTGCACAGTTTAGTTCCAAACTTGCTCCAACACACACAACAGTAAGTTTCAAACAAGCCTAACAGACTCAATCAGTTTGATAAGGTGTGTTTAATTCAAGTTGATACAAACTGTGCAGAGCTGCGGCCCTTCAGGAGCTGGAATTGACACCCGTGGGTTAAGGGGTAGAATTGGGATTGGGTCTTACTAAATAAATTCCAGGAATCACATCAAAAAAGTCATGTGATTTTCTTTTAAGAGATCAAGAGATAACAAAAATGGTCATTTTGGGATAGCATTAATAGACAAATCAAAGGACTGACTACATTGTTAAACCTCTGATATGTTGATTTGGTCATTTAAAAATCCCTCAGCCAAAGTCCATCATCAAAGTTCAGTATTATTACCTCCCAGAACTGTTGAGCATCTGGGCTCCCAAAGAGTGTCTTGCGTCTCTAAAAACCATAGCGCGCTAGTTGCATTTCATTTCATCTTTATCTTTTGAGGTGCAGAAGATAAGATTTTTCGTGCCGTTTTATCATGTAGTTACTATTTTATCCTTTTTGACGCTGATTTGTTCGCAAATGTTTATGCGATACTTCAGTTTAAATCTAATTTGCATCTTTGGATGGAAACAAAGCTACTGTTTGATGTCCATGTGTGTCTGTGATAGTAGTACACAATGGCCCATTTCTTTTAAGAGATGAAATTCTTCCATTTCATTTCAGTGTAAATGCAACCTCCGTTCTAGATACTCACCGCCTGAGCTGTTCTCTTTAGTTCACTAGATCTAGTCTTCACACCAGGCACTTTTGTCATGCATGAGGGTTAAAGAAGACTGATTTCTTTCAGAGATCAAGGATTCTGGCATCCGTATGCATGTCTGTTATTTGTAGATATTATTAGACATAGTTAATAATTTGCTATGTTTCCTGTGATTGTCAGCTGGATTGGACCCCATTCAGAAACTTTTCCTCGATTCTATTCGAGCGTACTCATCACAAACCGGGTACATGGTGTTTCACTATCATCCTCTCATGGTTTGATTAACTGTGCAATATAATCAGGCTTATAATGACTTTGTGTTGTTTTCTCAGTGCTGCTGGAGGTCTAGTCGATGCAGGTCCAGAGTATCAGAAGGCTCTCGCTGAGGAAATAGCAAAGCTGCAGCGGTTGTACGGTGGTGGTGATCTGTCTTCCTTCCCAGAATTTAAATTCCCCGGTATGTCAACAGACAATCTCTCTGATCTGTCAGTTGTTTTTTCATTTATGTTTTCATTTGTTTCCATTTCATAAATACATACAGTGGTGGAAGGATAAGGAAAAGTACCATTACTTGGCAAAAACAGTGCAAGTATTCATTTCTTGTCAGCTTAGTCCTTTTATTAATCCGGGGTCGCCATAGCGGAATGAACCGCCAACTTATTCAGCATTTTTTTTTATGCAGCGGCTGCCCTTCCAGCTGCAACCCATCTCTGGGAAACCATAGTGCAAGTAGAATAAGATAAATTTTTCTAAATATTACTCAATGTAAGAGTAAAAAAGTAGCCCTTCTAAAAGTTCTCCCGAGTGATAGTGAGTTTTGAGTACGTTGTAAAAATTATTCCACCTTATACCCTGCAATTTCAAAATTTTCTTATTTTCTTATAAGGGTGTTTCTAAGTGCAAGTAAAATAATTAGCCATGCATGGACGATCAATTTAAAATGCAAGATTAATGTGAGAACAGACTACATTAATTTATTTCACTATAATAAGCAGACAGAAACCAGGTTGATGTGTTATATATGGAATGAAGTCTGTGTAACCCAAAGAATAAAAAAACTAGCTGTGACGATATGTTAAAGCTTATGTTATACAATTTGAACCCTGACTAACAAGCTACTGGTGTTCAGCAGTTTTAGTCCTGGTGTCCATTTTAGTCCTCATCCAGTAGACATTCTTTATCTTTAAATCTGTGACACGCAGTCTAAACGGTCAGATTTTTTAATGCTTCACACTTGCATACATGTTGCATTCATAAAGTATCTGTCTATCTGCTTTTTTTTTTTGCATTGTTTAATTGGTTGGGAATCACAGTACTGAGTCTCGTCCAATTAAACCATGCAGAGAAAAAGTAAACAACATAAAAAGTAGTGACTGCAGGTTGAAGGAAAATGGCACAGTTAAAGTATGAATGATTCATTCATTCATTCATTTTCTTGTCGGCTTAGTCCCTTTATTAATCTGGGGTCCCCACAGCGGAATGAACCACCAACTTTTCCAGCACGTTTTTACGCAGCGAATGCCCTTCCAGCCACAACCCATCTCTGGGAAACATCCACACACACTCATACACACACAAACTCATACACTACGGACAATTTAGCCTACCCAATTCACCTGTACTGCATGTCTTTGGACTGTGGGGGAAACCGGAGCACCCGGAGAAAACCCACACGAACGCTGGGAGAATATGCAAACTCCACACAACTGAGCCAACTGCGCCAACTGAGCCGAGGCTCGACCCAGCGACCTTCTTGCTGTAAAGCGACTGTGCCACTGCGTCACCTAAAGTATGATACAGAACTAAAAATGTACTGAAGAAATAGACAAGGATAGATGTTCAATAATTTTAGGACAACTTTAATGAAAGGTTTTGATCCATGTCAAATGTTGACTACTGAATATAAAAAAAAAAAAAACAGAAAAGACTTTTTACCAGGGGCAGACTGAGACAAAAATTCAGCCCTGGCCCTGTAGTCACACCAGCCCACATTACCACACCGACACAACCCCACCCATGGACATGCACATTCACTGCTTATATTAGTGTACAGATGGGGAAATAATATAGGCAGTGCAATATCATATGTAATCTATATTTTTATATTATATATTAACCCAATACTGAAAAAAAGTGCAAAAACACTATAAAATTTACTATAAATTACCATAGCATTTTTTTCTTGAAGTCATTCACCTGTGATGTGAAAATGTGACCACGATCTCCAACACTGGTGACGTTTCCAGGGGGCAAAACTGTGGGATTCGGGAAATGTTCGAGTGACTTCTCATGTATTTTTTGAGCTCTCCTCTTACAGCAGCCACCTGCTCATCTACAGCGCAGTCAAAGCGAGAAGGATCTCAAAAAAGCCTATTCTTGCCAAAAATTGATTACTAGGGCCAGACGGAATCTGCGAACGTTGTTTTGCTATTTCTGCTGACAATTTTGGTAAAAATCTGTGGATTTCTGTGGAAATATTTTGGGAGTATCTCAACTAAACCTTAATATATGAAATAAAAATAATATCTTTTTAAATTATTTAATGTTTGAAATGCATATCCAATTAGATTCACTTTATTCGGTAAATAAAGCAAGTTTGTTATATAATATATCTAGTAAAAGAGAAAATATTACTGTACAAACTGCACTGTACATAAATCAGATGAACATTTTCACATTAGTCAATAATGTTACTGTAATTAATTTTAAAACTGGATTAATATAGATTTACACACATTTACTCAATTAAATAAACCGAATTAATGATGAGCTAAAAATCAGTGGAAAATTCTGAATTCTGCGCGCAGGTGGGCTTGTTGATTACGTCTGCGTAACCTCTGATTTGGTCAGGCCATCTCGAAAACAGCCGGTCGTCACCGATTGGGCCAAATGATTAACATTTATTATTAATATTACTATTATCATCATCATCATAATATTCACATCTTGCAAGTTGCAAGAGATAAAAGCTGTCTGCATGTAAAAACAATACATTAAAAAAAACGTTGCTAAACTGACCAGCCCACATTTAAAAAATGGTCCGGCCCTTCTGGCATTTGGCCAGTGGCCAGTCCGCCTTTGCTTTTTACATCAGGGGTTCCAAACTGCAGGCCCACTTACCATTTACGGCCCCCCTCCTCCGCCCACCAGTATGCAACTGATGTCAAAAATATACAGGATTCGTCCCACCAAAATATATATTTTGAATGACTATTCTTGTCGTGCAGTCACATATAGCCACTTGTGGTTTTGTTCCGCTCTTGTTAGAGTTTTCAAAAAAAGAAAGACATTGAGAATAATAATTGGCAGTAAAGTTACTAAAGTTACCCAAACTGCTTTCTGATGTTCTGTCAAACCATTGCTTAAGCAATACTTGATTGGGACAGGTTAATAATTATAATTATTATGTCTATTATTTGTAGTATTTGCATAGCAATTTAAACTACCCCTTCAATAAGTACAGCAAGAACCAAAAAGCTTGAGTTTTGAAAGCATGTACTCTGTGGAAGAATAATGGAGTGTGTGTCTGATGCTCGGTCATACACACAACCGCCACAGATATATTTCAGTAGCTATGTGATGCGATAAACGTCCTGATTTGCATTAGCACTTGTAACAGGTAATGCTTGAAGTATATTTGTCATGTCTATTGTGCTTAGATGCATCAATTACATCAGGTTTTCACTTTTTTCTTATGCTTGAATGTTAAAATGGCCCTCATATGAGTTTACAGTCACTGCATGGCTGACCTCTATATGTTTATGTACCTTATAAACAGTGGTGGAAAGAGTACTGACAAATCATACTCGCGTAAAAGTACCATTACTTGCCTAAAAATGTAGTCAAGTTGAGTAAAAGTATCTAATACTCAAAGTAAGAGTAAAAAGTAGCACTTTTAAAAGTACTCAAGAGTAGTGAGTACGCTGTTAAAAGCTGATGCATGATACATGTAATTTGTGCATGTGTGTGTGAACGTAACATTCTGTAGAGCAGTGGTGCTTAAACTGTGGTACGTGTACCACTAGTGGTACACAGGCTTCGTTCTAGTGGTGCACAGAGGAATTGCTGAATAATTTAAGTAAAAAAAAATGAACACTTTTAACCTTTTGATGCATACGATAACACTGATGTGATCAGTAAATTGATTTTAATAAGCTAAACCTGTTTTTTTATTTTCAATTTACTAATTTTTGTTATATATTTGAAGCTAATCTCCCCATATTTGTAACTGTTGTTGGGGATGTATCCCAAATTTTTATATTACAATACTGAGAGATTTGGGTTAATGACTCGCTATTCTGACACACAAAGCCTACTCTAACACGCAGTAAGCCGATCTAATTTCTAAATTAATTTTGTAAATCCAAATCATATATTTAATACACAAGTTGATGTTTAGAGTTCAAATACATACAAAGATGTCAAAACTTTTTATATATGATTATGATCACATATAGCTTATATTTATGAGGTCCAAAGAACATTTTCAGGTTAAACATTATTTATGTTTTTTTTTTTTTACCTGTAAGCACGGGGCATTGTTAATGTTCAAACTATTTTTAATGTTTAAAGGTTGACAAAGATAAATATTCATAATAATAGGAATTAATCTGCCTTGTTTTTGAACTGTGCACAGCTGTAGCTGCTTAATTAGGCCTACTACGCCACTGTATTTTAACACTGGTCATTATGGTGGTACTTGGAGAGACAATTTTTTTCTGAGGTGGAATTTGGTGAAACAAGTTTGAGAACCACTGCTGTAGAGCATCTAGTTATTGCCCAGCAGGCACAAAATGTCATAAGATGCTATTATTAGGTTAGATTTAGGTTGTGTGATGTCAGGTGGCCAAAATTCAACATCTAGCCTGCGTCTAAGGACAAAGTTATGTTGATGTTCAATAATGACGTTGATATTTGGTCAATTTTAGGCTGTTGGAAACCTAAAGTAACCTGTAGTAATTTGAGTATTTGTAATTAGTTACAAATATAACCACTGCTTATAACCAAGCAGCCAGACTATAACATAAGCAAACCAAAATAATGCTTGAACCAAAATAATAAGCTTTATTAAGAGTTGGAGCAACAATTAGGAAATTGATTCATTATTTTACATTAATATTTTGTTCTTTACTTTTTAAAAATGTAAATTTGTAAGAAGGAGCAAGGCCAGAAGTCACTTTGTTTGCCTACAAAGTGACTTCTGGCCTTGCTACTTCTTATCTGCTCTCGCTTCTGCAGATCTATGTGCCCTCCAGAAACTTGCGTTCTGTGAATGAACGTCGCCTCGTGGTTCCATCCCAAAGGGGGAAGAAATCACTTTCGCGAACGCTCACGCTCAATCTGCCCAGTTGGTGGAATGAACTCCCTAACTGCATCAGAACAGCAGAGTCACTCGCTACTTTCAAGAAACGACTAAAAACTCAACTATTTAGTCTCCACTACACTTCCTAATCTGTAATTGCCTCTCTGAATATCACACTAACTGTACAAAAAAAAAAAATACTAATACTACTAAACTACTAATACTTCCCTTCTTAGACTTTACAGACCTGAAACTTGCTTATAGCACTTATTCATTGTTGCTCTTGGTTGTGTAAATTGCTTCCTTGTCCTCATTTGTAAGTCGCTTTGGATAAAAGCGTCTGCTAAATGACTAAATGTAAAATGTAAATGTAAATGTATGCTTTAACATGCAACATCTCCATACAAAATATGCAAGCAACCAAATCTAAACAATCACACAACGTGTCAAAGTTACTTTAAAAGCTATTAAAAGCATAATGCTTAACACTTTAAATAAATATAACTGTATTTAGCAGCATATGTCACTTACCCAAGACTGTATTTTGTAAATATATATAATGTGTAAATATAAGTATATGTAAATAAATATATATATATATATATATATATATTATATATTTTTTTTTTCTTTAAATATGAATTAGCATAGACTTTCCCTCTGTGTTATTGTATAGCCTAACTCAGCTTTATTTTTATTTGTCTAATTAAAATATTTATGATTCATATATAATATTAATATAATCATGTATAATATAACTTAAGTTGTAGTCTGCAACAGAGGGTGAATATCATCTAATAGTTTTAGCTTTATTCTTTAACTTCTGATTTATAAATATTTCTTAAATCATTTCTTAGACGATTGATATTTTTCACAGCACTCTCAGACGTCTCATTAATGCATCGATATGTCAGTTTCATTGCAAAGGTTTCTGCAATGCTTTTTGATGTCAGCCTATAGTAGCTCCATTGGTATTCCTGCTTAATTTTAGGTCTGAAATGCACACTTTGTTTGATGTTGACGTTATTCGAATGTTCTATGGTGCATTTAACTAACCCTTTTTTCTCTTTTTGCATTTACAGAGCCAAAGTTCGATGACGTGTCCGCCAAGTAAAAGTGTGTTCTCCTCTCCCGTGCCTCTGTGAAATTTTATGAGGTCTAGTAAATGCCCTTATATCTGTAAAAGTTAACATTTTGTGAGATTTAGAACATTTTTGAGACTATTTTTGAAAAATTCTAATGTCTAAGGGAAAAAACACAACCTGTTTAATGTTTAACACACAAGTGTATTGCTTAAAGCTGTGAAATAAATGCTTGTCATTTTCCATAATGTATGTCAGGGCGTAAGTATTTGTGGGAAAAGCTAAATAAACTGAGCACTTTTCTGTCTGCTCTCCATGTTTTATTGTTTTGGAAATGGATGTATTAGATTTGAATACAAGTTGTGAAACTTGTGTATATGAAATCTGGCAAATTTCGTGATAGTTTTGTTTTTAAAATTGCTATGAAATGGAGGAAATTTCATGCCATTTTTCATAAATAAATAAACAGTTAAGATGTATATTTAGATTATGAATTTAGCATTTAAGCCACAAATGTTTTTTTTAAGGAGTTTTGGATTAATTCAACATATAGGGCTGCACGATATTGAAAAAATCTGACATTGCGATATTTATTTTAATGCAATTTAGATCACGATATGAATACAATTTCAGCAGATAGCTTGAATAGCTCTATTTGGAATAAAATCATTAACTTAGATTGTAATAATCTTCACTGTAAAAAATTATCTGTAAACAAACAGTTTCCGTATTTTGTGATTCCCAAGTGTTTTTAATTTATTTACTTTTGTGAATTGCATTATGGGATGCAATTCACAAAAATCTCTGCTCTGTCAACTTTTGATGGTAAAAATTAACCACTACAGTTAACAAAGTGAGTTCTACTGACATTTTAGTAGTTTGAACTAATATAATGTATTAAAAATAATATATAGAGAAATAAGTTTGTAAAATAACAGAAAATGTACCATAATATACAACACCAATCCAGAAAATATATCACTTCAAACCATTAAAAATGTTAATAAAAGTAAATTTTTCAAATGTTTTAGGGTTAAATGTTATTGAAAAAAGCATAAGCGTAACGCATAAATAAATAGGGGAAAATAACAATTAAAAACATGAATTGCCGAATACAGAAAACTGCTAATTTACGGATATTTTTGCAGTGTTGTAGAGGAGTGAATTAAAGAAATTGCAGGACTAAATAAATAAGAGCAAAGATGAAAGGAAAAAAAGTAGTCAAATATTGAGGTACAGTAATATGATATGATATTATGATATTTTGCCCCAGATAATGACAGATCACTATACCAGCGATATATCACAAGAAATCCACATTACATCCTGATATTTATAAATGACGAGGGAAAAAAAACATCAAAAAGTGATTAGATGTATTTCCTTTAATAACAGCACATATATTTCTTAGCACTGTAACATTAATATACCGTTGAAGTCAGAATTATTAGCCCCCCTGAGTTGTTAGCCTCCCTGTTTATTTTTTTCCCAAATTTTTGTTTACGAAGACAAGATTTCTTCAACACATTTCTGAACATAATAGTTTTAATAACTCATTTCTAATAACTGAATTATTTTATCTTTGCCATGATGACAGCACATAATATTTAACTAGATATTTTTCATGACACTTCTATACAGCTTAAAGTGACATTTAATGGCTTAACTAGGTTAATTAGGTTAACAAGTCAGGTTAGGGTAATCAGGCAGGTATAATGATGGTTTGTTCTGTTGACTATCAAACAAAAATTAGCTTATAGGGGTTAATAATTTTGACCTTAAAATGGTGTTTAAAAATCAAATACAAATTTTATTCTAGCTGAAATAAAACAAATAAGACTTTCTCCAGAAGAAAAAATATAATCAGACATCCTGTGAACTTTTTCTTGCTCTGTTAAACATAATTTGGGAAATATTTAAAAAAGAAAAACTAATTCAAAAGGGGGCTAATAATTCTGACTTCAACTGTATGTTCGATCCGCTAAACGAGTCCCCACCTCATGCATAGGGCTATTTTGTCCTGCCCTCTTATTGAATAATCAAATGTAGTGATCATTGCTGATCAACAATAATAATCAAACTCCACATTGCAGATGCAATATTTTGTAAAACTGTGGAAAACTTTTAATATATAAATTTTTGGGGCTAACTATCATGAACTTCAATCATTTATTCATTTTCTTTTCGGCTTAGTCTCTTTATCACTCTGCCACAGTGTAATGCACCGCTAACTTATCCAGCAGGGGTGGACTGGCCATAGGGAGCACCGGGACATTTCCCAGTGGCCTGGCGGTCAATCTGGCCTGCCACCGTGAGTCTGGCCTGCTGCCGCCAATACCCTCAAATTCCACTAAAATACCTCAAAGTGCTCAATAATATGTAGATCTGGTGACTGTGCAGGCCATGGGAGATGTTCAACTTCACTGTCATGTTCATCAAACCACTCTCAACAATCTTGCTGTGTGTATTGGTGCATTATCCTCCTGATAAACGCCACCGGCTTCAAGATACAATGTTTGAACCACTGGGTGCACATGGTCCTTTAGAATCCATCGGTAGTCCTTGGCAGTGATGCTCCATCTAGCACCAGTATTGGGCTTCGGGAATGCCATGATAATGTAGCCCAAACCATCACTGATCCCACCATGTTTCACTCTGGGCATTAACAGTCTGGGTGAGACGCTTCCTTGGGGCTTCTCCATATCGTAACTCTTCCGGATGTGGTTAAGACATTAAAGGTGGTGGACTCATTAAAAAATAATACTTGATCTGCATTATCCACAGCACAAGATTTTGGCTGCTGCACCTTTGAAACAGGCGTTGGGCATTGGCACGAGTGGGCAAAGGTTTGGCTATAGCAGTCGCCCATGTATACTGACCCTGTGGAGGTCCTGACTAACAGTTTTGGTGGAAACAGGAAAGTTGAGCTGCAGATTTAATTCTGCAGTGAATTAGCAAGTTGTGGTTTTATGAGGTTTTTTTTCTCTATACAATCGGGGTTACCACCCTTTCAGACAGCTTCCTCTTGCATCCCAAGTTTCTCCTATTGGATGTGGTTCTTTTTTTTTTGGGTGGTATGCTGACAAAACTCTAGTCACAGTGGCTCTTGATGCATTACAAAGACTTGCTGTCTTAGTCACAGATGTGCCAGTGAGACGCACACCAACAATTTATTCTCTTTTGAGCTCTGAGTTGTCACCATATGACATAATGTTGAGTGCATTGCAATATTTTAAGCAAAACTGTGTTAATACTCTGCTAATTAAACCTTCACACTCTGCTCTTACTGGTGGAATGAAGATGAATGGGGTATATGCCGAAGCATGCTAATAGGACTTTTAATTTGCCAGTAACCTGGGTTAAGCGCTTCCGGTGAACTGTTTGCCATTGCAAAAACGGTGCGTTTAAGGTCTGTTTTCTTTAAAAGTCAGCAATTTCCACTGGCTGAGTGATATCCGATATAAAGTGGGTCTCAGATTGTACAAGAAGCACTGCATTAAATTACATTTTCCCTCGCCATGTCTTTAAAATATGAGCATTCATTTTACCCCAATTTTTTTCAATGGAACTTCTGCGCTAGCCTGCCAGTTCTGATGAGCAAGTGCGTGTAAACGGCTTTTTGTCTTGTTTTACGCTTGAGCAACTAAATGAATGCCAGAGTCTATTTAACTGCTGTAAAAGGTATCATTTAAAATGGAAAAAAAAATAACAATAACAGGTAACTGAAAGTTTATCAGCATGGGAACAGCACTAGCTAGGCATATACCCTAATGAAGACTGGCTATCAGCCAAATTCAAATCAAATATTGCCATGAAACCTCCAACACTAAATTCACCACCAATATCATTTTACTTTTGCAATCCATATCAATTGTGTTTTTAACCATAAATGTCATTTCCACCACATGCTGTCTTTTCCACCACAGGGGGCAGCGTGGTGGAAATGACATTTCAACAGTTTATTGTGAGAAAATGAAAAATAGCTTCACTGATTAGCTTTGAATTAATAATAGCATTTCATGTATACAAAACACTCTTATTTTAATTTTGTTTGGTTAAAAAAACACTTTTGCAGGTACAACATGTTTGGAAATGACGTAGAATAAATGTATTTCCTTATCAAGCAATATTTACCTTGATTTTTCTTCTCTGATTCTTTTGTTAATGAAAATCATGATACTGTGCGACAGCTATATTTTGTATAAAAAATAATATTGATAAAATATAGTCTCACATTAATAACTATAAAATCTTTGACCTATTTTACTAGTGCTTAATTAAGACACATTAATAGTTACCAGATAACTAATATTTGTTTTCATTGTTGAAGAACTCTGGGTGTGCAACAAGGCGAAAACAGTGATTTTAACAAGTAGGTTGAGTAATATGAAAAAATATATAAAAGTTAGTAATTTTTTTAAGTAGGTTTTATTGTTAGTTAAAAGGAATTTGAACTAAATTCTATATTTTTGGATATATGATCAAAGGACATAAAAGTGCCCGTAGTTGAAGAATAACTTGCTTACAGCTGAGAAGGGAGGGCTCTGAGAACTGCTAAACATTTGTGCTGTTTTCATGTCTATCACGACAATGCAAGAAATCTGATTAGTCATGATGATATGCCTGCAATACACCACCAGAAGCAGACAATTCATGGTTTTCCACAATATTTGGACTGCCTGGCATAATAACTGGCTGATTCATATGACTGTGCCTTTTGTTGATGATAATGTTTACGATGTTGCTTGCTGTCTTATTTTTTGTAGTCAATCATCTGAAGTCAGTCAACAAAACCTTAAATGCAAATAAGCAAATCAACTTCTCTTCCACCTACCCCAAAAGTAAACTCATGATAATTAAATTTGTAAAAAAAATAAATAAATGTTTGAGTCCTACAAAAAAATGTATTTGTGACTAATACAAATACATAAATTAGCTTGCTAACATGTCAGGATTATGTAAGTTACTTTTAAAGAAATAGCCTTTTGCAATCTTAATCTTGAACAAATATGAAAAATAACGTAACATACTTTCTTTAAAAAGTAACATGTTTAGTTCTCGTAACAATACTTATATAGTAGGCTAATATATATGTAACTTTTAAAAGTAACTTTACCCTAAATTGATTATGTAAGAAAGCCAATTCTCAATTAATCCGTTTTATTTGATGTATGCACCAATGTTATAATTCATATATTTTGATTTCATATTTGCAGATTCACGTCTTCCTTTCTTCTTAGTAAGTGGGCCAAAGACTAAAATATTTTTCTCCCATGTGGGGGCGCTCAATGCTGTATTTTATGACCTTGCAATAATAATGGAAAAAGACTGTGTGTAACTGTCCCTGTGCTGTCTTTGTGTGTTTTCTATTTAGCTCTCGTGTTTTCGTTTACCACATCCTCATTTTCCTTAGTTATCCTTGTTTAGTTGTCTTGGTTGTTGTCTCCACCTCATCATCTAGTTTACTTGTTAAGCCTACTGTCTTAATCTCTCGTGGTCAGTTGTTTTTATGGTTACTCCCGCGAGATCTCTTCCTCTATGTGTGTGTTCCTGGTATTCTGTTTCTCTGGACTGTTTAATAAACCAATTTGAATGCATTTGCATCCTCAACTTAAGAACTCCTGAACTTATTAACAGTATTTTATAATATGTTTTTCTTTTTGGCAAAGTCTTTTTTTTTTTACTTGAATAAAGCAGTTTTTTAAACAACTTTAAAGGTCAATATTTTTAGCCCCTTTTAAGAAACATATATTCTTTAATTGCCTGGAGCTCCACAGAGTCAATATACATGGTCAGGCTGCTATAGCCAAACCTTTGATCACTCATGCCAATGCCAAACATAAGTTTTAAGTTAGTGCCAGCAGTGAAAATCTGTAGACAAGGAGTCCATCTTCACTGTCTTTCCAACGATTGGGAGAGTTACAGTGTGGAGAAGCCCCAAAGAAGTGTATACCACTGGTTGCATGCCCAGAGTCAAGCTTTGAAGGGTTTATCATGGTTTTAGGCTGTAATATCATGACATTCCCTAGGTACGAATATTTGTGCTAGATGGTGGTGATATACTGCCAAGGACTACAGAACCATTATGGAGCACCATGTGCACCCAGTGGTTAAAACAGTGTATTCTGAAGGCATTGAAATGTATCAGGATGATAATGCACCAGTACACACAGCAAGACTGGAGACAGTTGTTTAATGAACATGGAAGTGAGATTGAACATCTCCCTTGGCCTGCACAGTCACCAATGATAATAAATAATATTGAGCCACTTTAGGGTGTTTTGGACATGTGAGTCAAGATAAGTTTTCCTCCACCAGCATCATGTAGTGACCTGACCACTATGCTGCAAAAAGAATAGCTCAAAATCCCTCTGACCACTGTGCACTGAAATGTCATTCTAAAGATGAATTGATGCTGTATTGGCTACCGCACTACACTATACCAATCAATTATTGGGGTCCAATTACTGAAAACCAGACATTTCAGTTTCATTGCCCATTTAGCATATACTAATAGTACATAACAAATGGACAAAACAGTTATATTATCTATGATTCTATAATATAAAGGTCACTGAAAATGACCACATTTAATTATATGCTTTGTACTGTTTTTTTTTAAGTCTTTTTAATTTTGTTATAACTTTAGCGTATTGTTTACACATGTCTGTGATATATTCATTCATTCATTCATTCAGAATGACCCAATTCAGCGGAATGAACTACCAACTTATCCAGCACGTTTTTACGCAGTGCATGTCCTTCCAGCCGGATAACATCCACACACACACTCATTCTGGAAAACATCCACACAGAGGCTCGAACCAGTGACCTTCTTGCTGTGAGTTGACAGCACTACCAACTGCGCCACTGCATCGCCCCCACAGTGATATATTGTTTGCAGATTTTATTGACATTGATGGTGGTACCCTGGACAGTGTTATCAGTCTATTCTGATTGAAACTGCTAAATTTAAACGGTTACTCAGAAAAGTGTTGACGTCAAAGTCTACCATAGAGGTAAGCGTTTTTAACAGTTTAATAGAACAAAAGTCTGCAATAGCAATAAATAACTGAATTTAGCAATTTGTAAGTGCTTATTAACATTCTTCTGTTAACACAGAAGAGGATATTTAGAAAAATGTTGGAAACCACTGATGTCTATATTTGTTTTTCTGACTAGTCAATGGTTACAGGTTTCTAACATTCATCTTTTGTGTTCAGCAGAATGAAAACTATTAAATTATGGGAGTTCTTGGAGGAAAGTAATTGTATATTTTATTTTTGGATGAAGTATCTCTTAAGGCAGTTAATGTAATTGTGTAGGTCAGTAGTGGAATTCATGCTGAGATTCTAAACAATTCCTCAACCAATCCTAAATCTTTCTATTACTAGAAATAACATAAATAATAATAATAATAATTCAAAGACATGCAAATGACATACATTTCTGAATTACATTTCAGATATATGCAAAATAATTTTGTAAAAATACCTAGAAAGTTCAGTTGGTATTTAACTCTTTACTGTATACTACTATATTTGTATCTTTACATATCATACCATTAAAACATTATTGAGAGTTCATATGTGAATGGAAACTCAACAATTCATTCATTCACTCATTTTCTTTTAGACTTAGTCCCTTTATTAATCTGGGGTCGCCACAGCGAAATGAACCGCCCACTTGGAAAATTAGCCTAACTATAATCCCTTTAAATTAAACAAGGTTTAGAATTATTTCTTCTACATTTATGAATAGATAATGTAGATGGGTCTTCTCGTACAAAAACGGCAAATATTGTCAACATCCAAGACAAAGCTTCTTTAAATGTTTAAGTGTTTTAGATGGGATTTAGAACGTAACATTTAAAAGCGATTGACGGGGTCGCTACCAAGTGCAATATTTTTAAACTTGCCGAATAAAAAAGAACCTTCCAGCAGTCACATATGTGCCGTTGTCATTCTGGGATTTCTAAAGTTGACACCAGTCAACGGCGCGGCGCAGAGCGGAACGTCACTACTAGCAACCAAGTTAATTTTTCCACACGGACAATAATAACAGCAGAACAAAATGGCCATGTCCCTGCTCAGGTTAGGTCGACTTGGATCTGTCAAGGTAATGGTGGATTAATATGACTCTTTTTCAACGAAAACAATTTACTATGTAAATGTGATGCATACAAGTTTCTTTCGATTTAATCTTTGATGATGACAGGTTAAATCGGGAGTTTTGTCAGATTCATTCACTGTCAGCGAGACGATTAGCAGAGACATAACTTGGTGTTTAATGATTACATACTACTAAGCGTAGGTTTATATATATCGCACGAATATTAATCATTTGTATTAATATGTCTTATGTATTGCTACAGTGTCTCTTGCGTGGAGGCTGGAGCCCACCAAAAACCCAGTTTGCTGCAGCTCTGTGCACTAAAGCGGACGTCCCACCGAAAACACCGAAAAAGGGAAAGGCTTCAAGTAAGAGTAAGAGTAAGGGCATGCTTTTTAATCATTATCTACCATCTTCATCAAGCTTGAATGTTTTGTGTGCGTCATGTTAACACGCTGTATTATTCTCACTCACGATACAGCATGATTGGACGTTTATTCACTGTATTATTTTAGTCATTTTGCATCTGCTTTCTTGCTTCGCTTCTGCTGTTCCAATACACTTGAGGTATTTGCACTTGAGCATTGGACTGCGTGCATGACAGATTTTCTGTATTTGAACTGTGTTTAAGTGAGTGAACACAACTTCTGATTGCCTCTCTCCCAATACCCACACATGGGCACTTGACCACAATTGAGAGCATGTGCAGATGACAGGAAGTAAGTGTACAATGCAATTTTTTGTCATTATTTTAGCCCAGCTCTTTTTCTTCAATGCACCCTGTATTTATTTAAACTTTGAGCAGCATTTGAGATTTTTACTATTATTTGTCACGTTTAAAATTGTGCACGCTTCGAATACACAAGATGTTTCAGGAAATAATTGCAATCTAACAATGAAATAGATTGAATTGAATTAGGTCAGAAATTGTAAAAAAAAATTGCAACTGTTTTATATTGTTTACAGTATTCAGAAGCACTACAATTTAATTGTGTCATTTAAGAACACCTGAACAGAAATGTAAATATGTATTTTAAACTATTACACATGGCGGCACGGTGGCGCTGTCACTCACAGCAAGAAGATCTCTGATTTGAGCCCCTGCTGAGTCAGTTGGCTTTTCTGTGTGAAGTTGCATGTTTTCCTCATGTTGGCGTAAGTTTCCCCCATGTGCTTTGGTTTCCCCTACAGTCCAAACTGGCATGCGGTATAGATGAATTGGGTTAGCTAAATTGTCCGTAGTGTATGTGTGTATGTCCTGGTCATCCAGGTTGGGGGTTGAGCGAATGGGCTAACGACCCACCTTGTAAAAATTAGGTGTTAAGAAACGGCAACATGGTGTGACTAAATATCGACTTTGATATAAAAGGCCCTGGGAGTAAGTAAGTAAAGTATTACTTGTACATAATACACAGATCATTTGTTTAACTACAAATCAATACACTCTTATGGCAGTTGGAAATAGAGTTCAAGAGCTCAATGCCCATTAGCTTATCGGAACAATTAGTTCATAATGTTGTTTAAATGCTTTTTACAGAACTTTAAGTTCACTTCAGCAGTTCATTACTTTGAACTATTTACAGATATGTGTGTGCGTGCGTGCGTGCGTGCGTGCGTGCGTGCATGTGTGCGTGTGTGTGTGTGTGTGTTTATTTAGTAATTTAGTTAGAAAGTCAGATTGACTGTATTTTATTGGAAAAAGTTTTATAAAAAAATCAAAGTACACTCTCACTCACAAATATATATGTATATTATGTGTGTATGTGGTTTAATGTAACAAAAGACATTTTGTTTAATTATTATGGTGCTTGTTACTGAAGATAAAAGAAGTTGCACTTTTTTTTACAAAATACAAGTTTAATTAATTACCAAATATTACCATCTAAATATTTAACCTAAGGTGGAAATTGTATTTCAGATTTTGAAGCACATCTTACTGAGCACTAGTGGTATTTCATCTCGCAACAATTCAGAACTTTTTAATTTAGTGGCTAAAAGTATACATTTGTAATATCACATTTGTACATATTAGTATACTGATTCCTCATCCCCAATGACCGTGGGGTTTTGGGGCCATGCCTCCTTTTAAAAGTCATACATTTTCTTAAGATGAAAATCACATGAATTAGCCAATTTTTCAACTATATGTAAATTAGGTGTGTTTCCACATGATATCAAGCTAGGTATTCATGCTGTAAGATTAGCTTTAAATTCCATTCCTGTTATGCATGTGTGTGCACTCTCAAGTGGTCAATTTGTCTATTGTGGATATTGGACAGCCGCTAAGCCTTTGAATGCCTTGATCTTTTCAACATCATTTTCTTAAAGTGTTAGAATGTCTGGTATTAGTTATATGACATGGTGTAAAAACTACACATTTTAGATGTTTATAGATCCTAGAGCTTTTATAAAAACATCTCTGATCTCAAATTAAAGGGATACAATTCATCATCACCTAACAACCGGCTGAGTATGTACAATAGTAAGCACATGTTATGCTGCCTGGTTTGTAGGGATTGCAAGACTGTCATTGGTTAAAAGGATTTCTCACTGCTTTTACTGTTCAATTATTTTATTATTTGAAATGCATTCATTTGAAAGTAATAGTGGCTTTACTTGTTGTGGGGCACTGAAGGCAAGACAAAATTTGCTACTGTCAGTCATTAGTCATCATAATTTAGAGTGAGGAACAGAATTGTGCACAATTCAATGTATAAAGTATATAGTTTCATTAAAAAGTTTGTGGTCGGTAATATTTTTGAGGTTATTAAAAGACTGCTGCACCTCTTTAAAATACTCAGTTAAAATAATTAGTAAATGATCACAAATTCACAATATTACAAATTACAGTAGATGTTTTTGGATTTTTGAGTAGATCTTTAAAAATGTCATTTTATTTCTTTATTTCTTCAGAGATGGCTTTTCACAGCTTGTGATCGTTTAAAAATATTTAAATGCTGATTTAATGCTGAATAAAAAAATATTATTATTATCATCCAATTATCATTGTCATAATCAAATATGATACGTAATGTTTTTTAAGAAGTGGGGCGAAGCAGTGGCGCAGTAGGTAGTGCTGTCGCCTCACAGCAAGAAGGTCGCTGGTTCGAACCTCGGCTCAGTTGGCATTTCTGTGAGGAGTTTGCATGTTCTTCCTGCGTTCGCGTGGGTTTCCTCCGAGTGCTCCGGTTTTCCCCACAGTCCAAAGACATGCTGCAGGTGAATTGGGTAGGCTAAATTGTCCGTAGTGTATGAGGGTGACAGGCCCATACAAAAGGCCGGCCGGAATGTGTAAAAAAGTTGTTATCATATGGACAAGTCTAAAATGGCTTGTTCCAAAGAGCCGTCCCCACAACCATACGGGACTAGGGCCAAAGAAGAAGAAGAATGTTTTTTTAAGAAGCATTGATTATTTTTCAGGTTTTTAAAATGAATATAATGGTCAAAAAAAGAAAATAATTTTTCATAGCATTAGAAATGTTTGCATATAAGTATGTATGTAGCATAGATTCAATCATGAATTACAGAGATTAGCTTATTATAAACATTAAATTATTGTTCTTACATATTCATGTTATTTAACTAGACGTTGCAAAATGTATGTTTGCCCAGTTAGCATGTAAGATTCCATTAAGAAAACTGATTTTTATCTTTTTAAACTTGCAAACATTCTTAAAAAATAATCTTGCATTTCTTGTTTTAGATAAAAAAAGCTACCTGGGAGGTTGCACAAAGCTGGCTGATAAATGGCCCTACTTTCTTTATAAAGTGACTTTGACTGAGTGTCTGAAGGTTTTTCAAAGTGTTTGCTGGGTTTAGTAATTGCATTTAAAAAAGAGGGTTTCTTAAAGGAACACTAACATTTTTTGGAAATGGACTGATTTTTTATAAGTTACCTAGAGTTAAACAGTTGTGTTTTATCATTTTTTAATCTATTCAATCTTATGTTATGAGTACTTATCGCTTAGGTCATTGAATTGGAATGGACCATTAGCTTCTTACTCAAAAATGTCAAAAAAGTGCTACGCTGTGTAATATAATTGCACTTGCTGCAGCCATATACAAAGTTCCTTGATTATGTTGACAGAATGAGAGTTTAGTTCCTTGCCATAACCTAGAAAATATCAACTTTTTCTTTTTTCTGCCATAATACATAATTTAACTACAGGATAGTCAAGATTTAAATAGGACAATTATTAGTATTCTTCCTTTAAAATTTTGAGCGAGGTGCTACTTTAAATGCAATAAACTGTTAAAACAATCTCATGTCTTATCCCATTTGCCATTTCTTCAGCCATAGAGGCAGATGAGAGGGCATCTCTTCTAGCCTACAAGCCTGCAGTTGCCTTCCCTTCTAAACTGGTTGCCACAGGATTTCTTTCCAAAGATGTAGCATTAGGTGAATCTGAAACTGCTAAGGCTGCTTTCACAACTCCTGCAAATGAGAAGACAACTGACAGTCCTCCAGCCGATACGGCAGCAGCTGATGTTGCTGTAGAAGAGCCAAAGATCACTGAAATCCCAACTACTGGTAAAGCGCCTACAGAAGGTGAAAGAAGTAAGGCCTTGGATCCTGACTCAGAAGCTAAGAAAGATGATGAAGATACCTCGTCCTCATCCTCATCCTCCAGTGACTCTGATTCAGACTCTGATGATGAGGAACCTAAGACTGAACCACCACAACAGACTGGTGAGAAAGCAGAGAAGAAGGATTCTAGTGTGGCAAATGAACAAGTTGATCTTGCAGACAAGAAAGCAAAGCCTGTATCTGCCTCGTTTAAAGAAGAATGTGTTGAAACTGTGAAATCGACACCAGAAGTGCTTGCACCAAGTGCTAAACCAGTTGGATCAGCAGAGACCCTTGTTGATCCTGCTCCTATAGTGTCTTCCTCAGCAACTCACGCAATTTCTGCTCCTTCTCCTAAAGTGTCTTCCTCAGCAACTGAAGCAATTTCTGCTTCTTCTCCTAAAGTGTCTTCCTCAGCAACTAAAGCAATTCCTGATCCTGCTCCTAAAGTGTCTTCCTCAGAAACTGAAACAATTCATGATCCTGCTTTTAAAGTTTCTTCCTCAGCAACTCAAGCAATTCCTGAAGCTCCAGGAGAATCTCTGAATGTTGGCACTCCTGATATTATAGCAGATATCCCAGCAACAGAAGTTAAAACTGTTCCTACAGAGGAATCAATAATCAAAGCAGAAGAGGCTGCCAGTGTTGTCCCAGAAGTCTCTACAAAAGCTAGTCATTTAGCTAGTCCTCCTGAGGCTCCTGGAGATGTTGCACCTAAATCTGAGGATCTCTCGGCCAAAGCTGAGGCAGGAGCACCGTCAGCCCCTTCAGAAGAGCTGGTAGACCCTGCACCTGCAGCTGCTGATGCTGTCGAGGCACTGGCTCAGACAGATGTTGTGGAAACACCTGAGGGTACACCACACTTCTTCACTCAGTTTCTTTCTCTGGATTTGACACATCACAGAAACACATTTCTCATTTTATTCTGAACTAATATACTTTTATGGCTACAGTGGGATTGCTGTTACGCTAAAGGCCCTGATATACTCATAGTGAGGTTCTTTTCATTCTTGATTTAAATGAACACTTCAGCTTTTTTTTTTTTGTTTTTTTTTTTTGTGAAAGGCTCATTTTACAAGACCAATAGAGTTAAAGTTAGAGTTTTTCCATTTTTGAATCCATTGAAAAAAAGTAGTTTTAGCTTAGCTTGCCATAGATCATTGAAATTAATCATTTAATTAAATAAAAAATTTGAGATAATTTTCCTATTGAAAGCTTGAGTCTTCTGTTGTACAGTGTGTTACAACAATGCACTGTTATGGCTCATTTCCAGCAAGCGGTATGGTATGGTATTGTACAATTCTGGGATGGGTAACCCTGATTAGGCCTTCATTTCCACTAATAGTACCCCTACTTTGTAAGTGTTGTGAATACCACAAATACCGATCCATCTTATGCAATAAAAACGTCATAAACAACAATAGAAGACATGCATGGACATTCTTCCCTCTGCAAACATTCATCACTATTGAAACCTCCAGGGTCTGCACCTCTGGGGTCTGTACCTCCGGGGTCGACCATGGTTCATTTGTAACCAAATTAGCATTATGCAGTGAGTCTAGCTCCACTATTTAAGTTCTTTACTATTGTGCTATGTACCCTTACAAAAGTGGTAAGGTACAGTTCGCTAATTTTGTAACAATGACTTCTATTTGTACTTCTGAAAGTGAAAATAGAAACAATTGCACACTGTACTGTACTGTACTGAACCACATCGCTTATTGGAAATGAGCCATTAGCGAACATCCCCTACAGTAATTAAACACACTGCAAAGGTGTTTCCTGCAAAGGAATATGCTTAGGCATATGCTTAGCTCTGCAATTCAGGACTACAATCAAATATTTTTTAATACAACTTCTTACAATAGATTTCTTTTAGGTAAGCATCTTTACATTATTTTATTCAATTTAAGTTTATTAGTGTAGCGTTTTTCACAATAATAATTGTTTTAAAGCAGCTTTAAATAAGGTGCACATTATTGCATATACTGGAAGACCATATCAGTGACTCTTTGTTAAAATTGCATATTTAGATTTAACAAGATTAACTTAAGTCTCTCTGAACTGAACCGAAGAAATGAAAGAGAATTGCCATGTCAAAGAAGGCAGAAACCCAAGCGTCATGCATACCTTTTACAAAATCACACAAACCAACAGTAGGTAGTTGATTATCATCTGGAACATCCATCCATTATTGGCATTCAGTTTCCAACTCTTGAAATGAACTTTTGGTCTGCTTTTGTTTGAAATAAAATAATATGTTTTCTCAAAGTATATCAGGGCTTTAAGGCTTTTGCGCAGATGGCTTTTGCAACTTTTTACATTAATTGTGCTTCTTATTCTTTAATTTATTAACTGTCACATAGTTTAAATTTTGCATGACATCTTTTCGAGAATTATTTCTTCTAACTAGTTTGAATGTTTCACTGGTTGTGGGTTGAAATGGCTTCAATTCTTAATTCACTACTTGCTTATCCTTCGTGCATTGTGAAATTCCTTAGGCATAACACATTACAACATAGCTGCAGATCTAAATTGAAGCTAACCAAACTTGTTTTCCAAACTAATAATAGATGCGTAAATTGTGCTCTGCAATCCTCGAACTCTAAAGGGGCATTTACACATACAGCAATAAACAAGTACAAACTAACCATTCATAACATTAGCAAACATGCAGTGGTCATCATAGTCCGTGATGAAACAAAATTTGTTTGTCAGTCTAAATTTGATGGATTTACATTTTTATAATTGAAGATGAAATGATGGATTGTCAAAAGCAATGTCACTTCAATAACAGCAATGCTAACACTCCAGTAGTAAATCTGCAGTATGTGTGAAAGCCTTTAAGAACACTGGAGCGGTAGAAAGATTTTGCTTTCATTTTCTTTACTTAAAAATCACCTCAATTAACAAATCCTATTTTTAAGTAGTTGATTATAACATTTATTAATTTTGACCAGCTTTATTTACAGTTATAAATGTAATGCAATCCTCAACATGTCGGCTGGCTTGGATTAGCAGGAGTTGAGCAAATGTGCTCAGAATTTGTTTAGTTCAATTTACCCCTCCATGAATGTAGCACTTTTTTTTTCTTGCTGTTTTTGGTGCCTTTCTGTTTTATTTAATTCTTGGGCAATTTAAGCACTTTTCTCAACCTGCCACTCTTTCTGCCATTGTGTATGAACATCTTCCCTTCCAGGGCTGATTTTATTTTTTGTTTGATGAACACATTTTTTGTTTTGTGAATTAGTATTGTTTATATGATCATGCAAAGAAAAAAAAATGCAATCATGTGAGATGTTTAATTAACCACTTTATGCATTTTTAGGTATTTTTTGGTGTTATAGTATCGTAAAACTGAGTGTGATTGCAGAGTAATGTTGAATGATCCTTATTTTATAAACATCTGGTACTTTTTTTACTGGGGTTGTAGGATGTGTAATGGAAAATTACAAAGTAATTAAAGTTAAGGTGAGAGAAGCTGTCAGACGGCTGTCTAGGTAAAACGCTGGAGGCCATTCGTTCCTTTTTTGATTAAAAGACCACCTGGGGATTGGAAGTGATTACTGTAACACCATGAAAGGTGTGATATTTCCATTCAGAATTGCTTTTGAAAAGCAAGAGATTATGCTTTAACAGGAAGACTGTCCTACAGTTCTCTGAAGGGATAGTTCACCCAAAATTGAAAATGTGCTCATGCTTTGAGTTTTATTCTTTTGAGCACTAAAGAAGATGAAACCTGTAACCATTGACGTCCATAGTAGGAAAAACAAATCAATGGTTACGGGTTTCCAACATTCTTCAAAATATCTTCTTTTTTGTTCAACATAAGAAAGTAAGTAAATCAGGCTTGGAACAAGAAAAGGGCGAGTAAATGATGATCAAATTTTCAGTTTTTGGTGAACTATCCTTTTAAGACCCTTACATGCTGAGCATGATCTGATAAAGCAAAGCGAATCTCCGACAAATGGTGGCTTCATGACAGACGTGAAATGATTGTATGCATTTGGTCAATTCACACCTGCACTATAGAATCGCATATTATCTAGCATAATTAAGACTTAAAGCAAACATCAATGCAGTTGGCATATTTGCTAAACATTTATTAAATGTTTTTAGGTTGTTTTGATTGTATTTTATCAGATTGCATTAAGACTCTTCCTTATTATTTAGTGTTTTTCCCCCTCTTGATTTGTGTGTTTTTAAACAACGCCCAAAATATGAACCCATTCATCAACAACAGGCTTTCATGAAACCATCACCACTGTCTTATTTATTCATTTTCTTTCAGCTTAGTCCGTTTATTCATCAGGGGTCGCCAAAGCGGAATGAACCACCTGTGCTGTCTTATGCATGTAATAATTATTCCCCAGTTTTGAATGTCTTGACGTTAATGTCTTACATTAATTTCCTCAGAACAAGCCCCAGAGAAAGCCCCAGAGCCGGAGCCTGAACCCTTCGACAACACCACCTACAAGAACCTGCAGCACCATAACTACAACATGTACACCTTCACTGATATGGATGTAGAGATGGCCAAATACCGTCTGCCCCAACCTTCCTCTGGCCGACCCTCACCTCAACACTGAGCCTTTACTGCATGGCCTGTGTACATTTTGTCCACAACCCTGTTTATTCATCATGTTCCTTTGTTCTTACAATGAATTGCTGACAAATTTCAAGCTTTATGGTAAAACTCTGCAAATAGTGTATTAAAACAGATGATCTAACTTAATCAGAGTGGTGTGGATTTGTATTTTTGCCTTATTGTTTAGTTATTTTACACTTAATTGTTTCAATCCTTTGAGACCTTTGTTCATCTACAAAATACAAATGAAGACATTTTTAAGATAATATATGTGAGCTCTCTCATCCTACATAGGCATCATAGAGTTGTATTTAAAATCAGGACAAGCAAACAAAAACAATGTCAAAACATTTCAGTTAACTTCAGTGTTACAGCTGTAATCATATGAAGCTTCAAGAGGATTTTAAACGGTGCAGAAAACTAAACAACTTTTTTTTTTCACCAATGTCTCTACTAATTCAGTATGTTTTTACTTAAGCAGTACAATGTATTGCCAGTAAACACACAGTCTGATGTCAAATACATTGATTAACAAAATTATTTTATCGACCACAAAAGTGTTTTTTAGCTTTGTATGTTTACAGTTGAACCACTAATGTCACATGAATTTTTTGACAATTCTTGGTTTCTTTTTTGAACGTCTAAAAATTTCTGGACAATTGCTGTCTGGAACAGTGTTGGGGAAAAGTTACTTCAGAAAGTAATTCATTAAAATATTGAGTTATTTCCCAAAAAAGTAACTATTTGTGTTACTTAGTTACTTTTTATGGCAAGTAATGTGTTATGTTACTTTTGCATGACTTTTTCTGACCTGGCTGAGGCTTGATCTCTTTTAGAACTTGCAGGGGTTTTTATCTTCTTCTTTTTTGTTTTAATAGAGGAGCCCTGCGATTAACAACACCTTCATTTACATTTAAAACATATAACAAATTAATGTAGGATAATGCTATCTAGAGCTATACATGGCATATGTACAGATTATTGAAAGTTTAAAGCAATATTAAGAATATTTCCATCACAGAAAAGTAAGGCTCTGCCTTTTCATTTCTTTCTGTTCCTACGTTCTCTCATTGTGTGAGGGATTTAGAGTGACTGTTCATTTTAAATCAGTAATTTATTTTTTAAAAGTGGATGAACTAAACCAAAAAAATAACTTGCGTCACATTTTTATTAAAGTAGTTCAAATATTAATGCATTAGTTACTTTACTCGAAATATTATTACGCAACTTATGTTACTTGCGTTACCCTCAATACTGTTCTGGAGGATGAGAGAGCTCTCGGATTTCATCTAAAATATCTTAATTTGTTTTACAAAGATGAACGATGGTCTCAAGGGATTAAAAGAAAGTTAGGTGGAGCAATTAATGACAGAATTTTCATTTTTGGGTTAACTAATGCCTAAAGTAAAGAAGTGTGCTTCTAATTGACAAATGGTTGAAATGTTAGGCTATATTTATTAACTCATTTAATTAGGAATCTGTCATGAATAGTTCCTCCATATCTTATATCCTCAAAATAATTGAGGAATCAAGTGTTATTTTTATTGTGGCAATTGCAAGGCCCTTAAAAACAATGTACAAGTGATATTAAAAATGAAGACATGATGAAAAGAAGTGTTACAAATCTGCCCATTATTCTACTCAAAAGGCCAGTATTCAGTTGTTATGTTTCTGTCTATTATTTTTCAATTTATTAATCTATATATTTGTATTTCTGTATGTCGATATCTGAGTGAGATATCTGTGTGTCCTAGCTAGAAAACAAATGCTGCTGAGCCCTGCTCTAGTAATTAGTTAGGAATGGAAAAAAAAAACATTTTGGACAGAACACCAGAGAACTAATTAGCACTATAATGGCACAGTTTTAAAAGTAAATTGTCCCGGACTCTCCCATAACGGGGAGTGTTTTTTAAAATATTTGCTGAGGGCGAGAACTTCTGCTCGCATCACGTCACTTCTCCTCCCCGTTCGTAAATATGCATGAGCTGAGTGCCCTGCGTCCTCGTGCGTGATGACGTAGCGCGACAAATGCGGATCCCGATTGCTGCAGCCGCTTGTCAGTGTGACGAAGATTGGCACCCAGGTAAGCTGTCACTCAAACTCGTCTTTTTCCGTTCCCTATCAATCAAACAATCCGAGCAACACACAAAAATGCCCGGGGCTGAGTGAAAGAGAGCATACGGTGTTAGGGCTCGTGGGAGTTGCATGGGACAGTCGAGCCAATCTTAACCTGGATATGTTTATCTTGGAGAAAAAATGTCTGCTTTATTGAGGGACAGGAGGTTTCAGTCTGGCAAGGGCGAGCGCTGAGTGAAGGCCCGGGTTTAGCGGCTCTCCGCGTCCCACTGCCCCTGCTCTCTCTGTCAGGCCGGAGGAGCGCGAGCCAGCCTCCCCGGCTAGATTAACGGATTCACTGTATATTTTAATCAAGTAATAATAAAAAAAAATCCCTTCACATCCAGGACCACGTTCGTGCGCAGGATTAGATGTCGCTGCTGTGGTTTGGCGCTCGCCGCAAGCGCTGCTATAGCGACTCGCTCTCAGTGTGTTTGCTAGCGGGCTAAAGCTAGAGCTAACCGCTCTGCTCGGTGGTTAAAAAGAGAAACATGGCGTTTTCTAGTTTAGAGACCGCTGCTACATTTACTCCCTAACACTAGTACAAATAATGTGCACGTTTGGGTTATAATAGTCCGGCGAGCGGTCTCTTGTTTTGCTAAGTTTAGAATCAATGACGTAAACGAAACGACCACAGCTGCAAAATGTTTTATTTCAGCGTCTCACGTTTGTTTAATCTGCAGCTACTCGTATTTCAGTTTATACCCGAAATTAGCTATTACTTTACGATTTATTGTAATACATTAGACATCACAAGAAGCGAGAGTACAGTTGCGTATTGTATTTTGATCAATAAATAGCATGTAAAAAATTATTCTCTGAAAAACGTCATGTCGAAATACGTGGGATAAAAATGTATAAAACTTACAGTATTCGCGCCCACCAGAGCAGATGTACCAGTGGGTGTTTGAATGTCTGTGTTGTAAAGCCAAGAGTTGCTTATTTACTGTAGCGCATAATGAAACCTTGAAATTGCATGCCAATACATTCTGGCATTCACATTATTGTTAGCTGGATATAGTGAAAAAGAAAATAAACTTGGTTAATTCAATAAACTAGGTTGGCACCCTTGGAAGTAAAATGAAAAAAGGTTGTTAAAAATGGCTTTATTGTATAAGCACTGTATGCTGTTGGGGATGTTTTCATCCACTCTGGGGTGATTTTTTTTACTCAGTTTCAGCAAATGGAATGATTTTGGTGACATATTTTGACACATTTTGGGGAAAAAGTTTTTGAAAACTTTCAAAAGCTCAAAACACTTGTGTACTTTAAAATTGTGTTACCCTTTCGTTATGTTTGTGGCTTTTTTTGCCCCACTATAATGAATTTTTTGATTGCAAAGCGATGACATCATATAACTGCATTCTTTATTGCTGGTAGTTTCCCTGTTGGTAAGAGGTAAAATTTGTCATTTATATTGTTCATCATCAGTTGCAGTGCAAAAAAAAGCCTCGATTTTGGAGATTATATGGCATATAGTGAGAGAAACCTTTTTGTGCACTTACCTCGATATGTCTGTGAAATCTAAATAAGTGCCTGAGTTTTCATGGTAAACCTAGTAAGTGTATTTATGCATGCACACCCTAATTTGCTGTTATATTCCATAGACCTCACTTTATAGAGTTCTCATTCGATCCTGTTTAGATTATAGGAGTATAGTTTATGATTCTGCCAGCAACTCTTTCATTACAATATGCTATTAATTTAAAAGCCAATAAGCTTATTATAAGCTTATATAACCCAGCTTATTCTGCAGTTTTTAACCCACAATTTGTGCAGTTGTATGAGAGTAAGTCAAAAACCATCAGACCATTTGATTTGGTTTGCGTATTAAATCACACTTACAAAAACCTGGATATTTTAAGTCAAACACACTTCAGCTCCCTGCCTCATTGGAAATTAAAGAAGCCCATATTAAAGATTTGGTACATCAGAAGAAAGGAGCAACTCATCCCAATGTATACAGGCAACAATATCTGGATATTAGAAACCAATATTCTCAGCACTCACCAATTTTTACAGATGGTGCGAAGGTGGAAAATGGCATAGCTAAAGCAATGGTGACTGGACAACAAAGTTATGGAGTCAGTCTGCCTGAAAAATGCTCCATATTCACAGCTGAAGCCCGTGCTTTACTTTTAGCATTGGGGTAAATAGTAAATGCTCAACAAGAGAATTCTATTATTTTTAGACTCCAAAGCATGCCTCCAAGTGATGGAATCTACAAAAAAATTATCATCCTTAGATTGATAATATTTGAACCAAAGTTCAGCATCTATAAAATCAGTTATCACAACATATTTTGCTGGATTCCAGGACATGTCGGGCTTTTATAAAATGAGCGAGCTGATGAAGCTGCTAAAGATTCTTTGAAGCAAGTTGTGAACAAATGCCTAATTCCTCCATCAGAGATGAGACCTTTTATCAGCATTTACATTTTAAATAAGCGGCAAGAGGAATGGGATGCATTGGACAATAATAAATTACATGAAATCCAACCTGAAATCTCACAGAATTTAAGACTAGATTTGATCAAGTATTTTTACCAGATGTTGTTTTGGGCATACAAGATTAGCTCACACCTTTTTACTTAAAGATAAAGACCCCACTCAATGTTTGTGCTGCAAAACTCCCCTTACTGTAAAACACATTTTCCTGGACTGTCCTGCTTTTAATGATTGTGGAAGAGTTTTTTTTATTATTATTTTTTTTTTTTTAATGAAATGAACTCTCTTAAGGACATTTTTAGCAAAGTGACACCAGAAAAATATGGTGTCACTTTAGAAATCTTATCATGTAGTAACACTAAAAACTTCTTTAACTTGTGTGTTCATTTGTTTGTTGTTCTTAATTGTTTATTTATTATTGAAATGTTCTTGCCATGAAAATAGCCTTTGTTGCTCACATGGCAATAAATAACAAATACATTATATTACTCTATAGAACTCCATATAAAAGACAAAAATGTATTTGCACAGGCCTATCTACAGGGTTAAATGTGCCAACTGGAGATCAACAGACAATTTTATCTCTTCCCAACAGGGAAAATCACCAACAATCAAGAATGTATGATAATTTGATTTCAAGGCTTTGCAATAAAAATGTTATTATAATGGAAGTCAAAGAGGCAAAAAGAGCCATGAACATGATGATTAGATTGCTATCAAATTTAACACCGTACAGAAGGGTTAACCTTTTGAATAATTTATTAATTAGCAAAATCACAACTCATTGACAACAAATTTGAAACAGTTATAAACATTTATGTGTGTCACAATGATTGGGAACCATATAGATATTTTTTTATTTATTTTTTTTATTCAGTCTACCTTTATTAATTTTTTTCTATTATTCCCATTCATATTTGATTTTTTCCACACTAAAAGCCAAACTCAGTCATTCAAAACAATGTAAAAAAATGTTGAGCTTCACACAGTGAAAATGGGTATATAGTGTTTGAAAAGCAATAATATAAAAATTCCACTCAATTGGAAGTCTTATGAATCTGCCTAGAAACAGTGCTTGTCTGTCCAAACACACTGTCAATAGGATGTAGTGCTGCACTATATGGTTTTAGCATTAATATCACTATGTGATTATTTACAATAGTCACATTGCAGTGTATGCAATGTTGATTATATTATATATTTAATTTTCATGAGTTTTCCAGGCCTGTGACTATAATGATTTTAAAAGCATTCAGGCATAACAAATTGTTTAATTTGTAACTTTAATAATGATCCATTTTATTGAATAATTTTTATTAATAATGCATAAATACTGTGAGCCTTGGAAAATAATAAAACTGATTTTTAAAATTGCTTTTTCATTGTATTGCTCAATGCTTGTAGAGGGTTTTATTATATTTTATGCAGATGCACTTCTCTACAGAATCATCCCAATCAATACAAAGTATTAAATCTTTCTAAATAGAGATATTCAACAAGTCACCTGGTGAAATTGTATTCATATCGCCAAAATATATTGCAATGTTAGATTTGTCCAAAATCAGTAGCTCTAGCTGGACGGTTCAAGTGAACAAAAAATCCCAAGTGGAGAATTGTTAATATTTTTTTAAAGCAAAAGAAAAAAGTGATAATATTATTAGTGGAGGCCTTTTTTTTTTAAAGAAAGATTTAATGTTACCTTTAGGTCCTCTCCTGCTGCCTGTCCATATAATGTCCCAGTGTTGGCAGTGGCCATTTTGAATATGATGGCTGCCCAGTCTGTGTCCATAGACAAATACCCAGAGGGAGACCAGCAGGTAGGTGTAAATCTTTGTTTTAAACAAATTATTTTTGTTTGGCACTTTTCATGATTACCGGTTTCTCTCTGTTAAACACATTTTATTGGTCTATTCTGCTTTTAAAGATTGTAGAAGTAGATGTTTGTTTTATGAAGGGAACTTGCCTAAAGAATTATTTAGCAAATTTGGCAAAGTTTTTGCCAGAAAAAGTTTCACTTATTTTATCACGTATTAATGTAGAATGTCTGATGCTAATAACTTGTGTTTGTTCAAATGACTTTCATTGTATTTCTTATATTTATGTTATTCTAAATTGAAGATAGACAATGTCTATAAATTAGTTTAATGAACTGTTATTTATTCAACATAAAATGAACGTTTGCATTTTAAACCACATAAATGTTTTTGTTTTTTTTTATTGTTGTTTAGTTTGTGCATTTGATTGCAAGTTTAACAAATATAGTGAAGTGTGCAATTTTATATTCGTTTTTCTCCTGGAACAGATGCAGGTAATGGAGCAGTCAGAGAATGACCTTAAAAAGGGCTTTTCCAATGGAAACACAGGAAACACAAGCAGCCCTGTATCCAATGAACCACAAACACAAATGGATATCGACAAAGCCTGTATATATAGGTGAGAGAGACAGATGTATTAAATATCCTATAACTGTGCGCGCGCACACACACACACACACATAAATATATATGTCAATGACAATGCTGATATAAATTTAAACATGAGTATTGCCATTCCAGTAATAAATGACAATTATATTTAATTACAATAAACAACTATTGTTTTAAAATGTGCTAGTATTTCACAATATTACAGTTTTTCTTACTGTAACTGCAATCACTTATTCACACGGGTATTAAGATGCGTTTTCATTAATCCAGTCATAAGTAGACAAAGGAGACACATTACCATTCACACCTGATGTTTAAATGTCTGTAGTCAACTATTGACCCCTTCTTACATGAGGGAAAATTTATGGATGGGGTTTGGCTTTCTCTGATTCTGCAGTCTAAGGCCCCGTATACACTAGTGCGTTTTAGTTTTAAAACGGCGTTTTAGAATGAAAACGATCCGCGTCCACACTCGCGTTTTACCCAGCGTTTCTGAACAGCTCTCCGTCCACACCAAAACGCTGAAAACGCACATCACGTGACCACACACTCTCTCGGGGAAGCGCTGCAGCCCATCTACCCAGATGAGAGCTCTGCTAGTCGAACTTCTCATCAAGCATCTCCCGCTGGATCTAATCTCACTATATTTATTTAACGGGATATTTCATTCATCTTGTTGTCTTTATCTAACGACATATTCCCTGACTTTGGTCGTTGGAATCTATTACTTATTCACAGATAACGTGTTTTGGCTGAGCGCAAAGATAAGTTAATGATTAATGTAACCATGTAGCCTATTCTGTATATTGACTGATCACTTGCCTTTATTTCCTATAATGTATAAACCTAATAATGGCCATTATCGATAAGTAAAACTGATATTCAGCAAAAGAGAGGGTGTGTTTCGTATTTTCACTGAAATTGAAAGGAGGCAGTTGTTATCGGCTCCGTTATAAATATCCACAGAGTGAAGATGACGCTCATATTATGCAGCACGACGCCTCAACATTTCTGCTGTCTGTTAAGTTGCTAATATTAAAATGAAAATAGGCAGTTCCTTAAATCATGTTTACATTTTATTGTTGAGAAAGTGAAACAACGTAGCCAGTGTGAATGAAGTTATACAGTACACTGTTCCCTTTGAAGATTTACCCGTGTCCTCGATATAGTCTGTTTTCCATATCAAACTGAGAAGAAGAGACTGCAGCCTTGATCAAACTTGCAAAGTCTGAATTTACAAGGAGAGGATGCAGGGCTGAACTGTGTGTGTTAGGCTACTTAATATTGAGGAAAAGCCCCAATCAGAGAGGCGAATGTCTGCAGCCCCGCCTCCGTTTTCAGATGTCTCCGTTTTCCATCATCCACACTGAGACGGAGCAGCAGCGTTTCAGAATGAAAACGGCCTCTCTAGCGTTTTCTAAACGCTCCGTTTTCGGTGCTCGAGAACGTGTGTGGACGGTTGGCGTAACCATAGCAAAACTTATACGTTTTCAAACTAAAATGCATTAGTGTAAACGGGGCCTAACAATGCAAAAGCTAGTGCAATTTTCATGCTGTATATAAAATAAAAACATTAAAAGTAGCAGATTAATCAACCATGCTTTATAAATAGGCTACTTTATACATTGATTAATGAATTTATAGATAATTGACTTTATTTCTAATCTATTCCTATTAGGCTTACACACTTTATTCTGTTTTACAGTTATATGCTATTGTTTTAAAACAATTTGACAAATTCATCTCGTAAGAAACACCAGTTGAAGGTGCTACATGAAAGCTGCTGTTTGAAGAGAATTGAGCAGCCATAGCCCATTACAAAAATCTAATCTGAAATCGAATGCCTATTTAATTGTGGAAAAAAGAAAACATACAGGGACTGGTAAGGGAACTTTTTCACACTTTTTACCTCCAATTCAAAACCTAGGATTATCAACAACAAAGGTTCTCCAAAACTGTTCTATAGAACATCGCACTCAGTTTATGAATGAGCTCATCAGCTGGAGATGAGGTGGCCTTTAAGGTTGATTTATACTTTTTCAGCCTTCGCACAGTCGCATGCCCTTCGCTGTTGCTGACACACACCTTTCAAAAATTTTAACTACACATCGCAATGATGCATAGCGCAACTTTGTCGGCTTGGGTGCGTTGATGAAGTATGGGGAGCACGGAGAGCAGCAAGCCCGTTGGAGCCAGTGTTTAAAATTGTCGAGTCCTGTGGAGGAGCTTTAGATGGAAATTTTATTTATTTTTTGATTACTATATGATAGAAGTTGTTTCACGTCCCCGGGTCCCGTCTCTGAATGAGTCAGTTTAAGCTATTTGTACATTATTATAAGCTATTATCATAGGTATTTTCCTAACACACACTCTCCGAAGCCCGTGTTTTTACTCTCCAAAGTTTTTCAAATGCACAGAACACTGAAAGAAACAAGAAACAAGAACAAGAAAACTTGAAAACTTATGGAGGGGGCAAAGCCTAAATAAATGACAATAAAAACTAAGTTAAAGACACCAAATTTCCTTGGAAAATGGATCAGAAATAAAATGCATACATTTTGCCCCCAGGAGAAAAATAAAATAATAAACAGCACAGAAAGTTGAAAGAGAGTGGGAAGCTGAAGAATCCAGGTGTTGTAGCATCTTATTGACCTTATTATTCAAAATGGAAGTAAGCTATTTTCTGCTTTTTTTTTGTTTTAAAACTTTTGATTCGCGTATGGAGACAAAATAAAAATGGTCAAATGACTTGCTCTACAAAAAAATTGCATGCGACAATTCAAAAAAAAAAAAAGAATGCAATAAAAATAAAATTTTTCAACAGCAGCATAACAAGATGTTTTTTAAGGTTAAAAATCAATAGGGATGGCTGACGTGAAACTGATGTTTCGACACCGTGTCAAGATCCTGAAGCGCAAGTGTTTTGAAACACTGCACAGAAGCATGATCCAAAGCACCCAAGTCATGTGACTAAAGTGTTTTGAAACAACTGGTCACGTAACTACAGCGATTCAAAGCATTGATCAGCTTAGAAGCGTTTCGAGACCTGGCGAACCTGCATTTGGCTGCAAAGGTCAAGAATTATCTCCGTCTCATATGGCCTAGTGGACTGTGCGTGTGCACGCTGTTTCTATGCTTTGAATGACGTTTTGGGTTCGAATCCCGACTTGTACAAATACTCCGAAATCATGGTTTTATGTATTTTAATCATATTTCTGTTTTGTGTAGCCTAAATAGGATACAGCTGCAGTAACGCCATCAATTTAGCATCATTTTTGTAACACTGTAAAACAATAATAAATATTTTTACAGTACTGTGATGGTTGGGTTTAGGGTTTGGGTAGACATTAATAAAATACAATAAATAGAAAATTTAATGAATAATACAAATAATTCTTGATAACTTCAGGCCACCGTTTCTGATGTAGCAACAACCCTGTTTTAAGACCAAAACAAGACATACTAATTCACAAATTGTTTATTCGGATATCAGACCAATGTTGAAACAAAACGATACAAGAGCAAAGCATTACCAACTGGTATTAAAGCATTAAAAAAAACTGTATCAGCCTGGATTCGAACCCATTGTCCCCACATGTTAGTCTGACACCTTAACTACTCCACTAAATTACTTGATGATTTAAGCATACAAAGTGGAGTTTAATGCCTCAATTTGCTTAACTGTTCTTTGCTGAAGCTGCTTGAGTGCAGTACATAAAAAAATGACCACTAGATGTCACTGTAGAGTGGGGTTTCGAAATGTTTCGAAGCTTCGACACATTTGCTTCGACTGTTTCAGTGTTTCATGAAGCCTCGCTTTGCCCACCACTAAAAATCAATAGAAGTCAGTGAGACTGGATCTCTCCAGCCTGTAATATTTTAATGGCTGTGTCTGCTTCTGCATGACTGAGGTCAATATACAACTGCAGACACTCCGAGTGCCAATCACATTCCGCCAAAATCTGCTGCACCTGCAAATAGCTTAATTGTACAAGACAGAGGGTGCGTCTCAATCAGCACCCTTGTTTAGTAGTCAGTGCACTGATTAGGGCATCAGACAAATTATGTCTCAATCTGAAAATTATTCCAGTTCACTGAAATGATTGTGGCCTGAAAAGTCCCACAATGCACTCTGAAAATCAGGGCTCATCGATAAGCACTATCTGTCCTTAACAGCATGAAATATCTTTCCGACTTCAAGCGTGGAATGCGTTAAAAAGTTTTGTCTTTTACAAACGCTTGTCCTCCACCACAGACATCCTCTTTTCCCTCTCCTGGCTCTCCTGTTTGAGAAGTGCGAACAGTCCACTCTGGGGTCCGACTGTGTCACGTCTGCCAGTTTCGATGTTGACATTGAGAACTTTGTACGCAGTCAAGAGAAAGACGGCAAAGCCTTCTTTAGTGAAGACCCTGACCTCGACAACTTGGTAAGAGATGTCAAAATGGCTGTAAACACACTTTATAGCCTTTAATTTGACCTCAACATCTGCATCTGCTTGGTTGTGATCAGATGGTCAAGGCCATCCAGGTGCTGAGGATTCATCTGTTAGAGCTGGAGAAAGTCAGTGACCTGTGCAAGGATTTCTGCAGCCGTTATATTTCATGCCTTAAGGCCAAGATGAACAGCGAGACACTGCTGAGTGGAGATCCAGGCAGCCCGTACTCTCCGGTCCATGACCAGGTACCATATTTCATACCAGGTTTCATATTTCATTTTACTCACTAAAGGTTGTTGTGCACTGAATCCCAAATGCCTTCACCTGAATATGAATACAAAGAAGAAAACTTTCGGACTTCAGTGTGCAAGGATCTTGTTGTGTGTTTGAAGGACTCATTATTATGTTTTTGTTGTTGTTTTTTGCAGTTGTCCAACCCTTTCTCAGGTCCCCTCAGTCCCCAGAGTCTTCTGATACCTTCGTCTGGTCTTCAACAAGGCAGTGTTACAGTGACCACAGTCAATTCATCACAAGTGGCCACAGGTAACACGTTCATCTGTTTTTGAGTCTTCAGTCACAATCTTAAACCTTTTTTTTTTCTCTTCAACAAGCAACATCCTAAGTCATATACATTAGTGGCATTTATGCATCCAATCTAAGTCAATTAGAGATTTCAGAAAAGATTGTCAATAATGCAATACCACAAGAGCATGAGGGCTTTTTTCATGAATATGTAATATTTATTCATTCTTCATTCATTCATTTTCTTGTCGGCTTAGTCTTTTTATTAATCTGGGGTCGCCACAGCGGAATGAACCGCCAACTTATCCAGCACATTTTTAAAACAGCGGATGCCCTTCCAACCGCAACCCATCTCTGGGAAACCTCCACACACACACACACACACACACACACACACACAATCACACACACTCATACAATACGAACAATTTAGCCTACCCAATTCACCTGTACCGCATGTCTTTGGACTGTGGGGGAAACCGGAGCACCCAGGGGAAACCCACGCGAATGCAGGGAGAACATGCAAACTCCACACAGAAACGCCAACAGCGACCCATCGACGTTCTTGCTGTGAGGCAGCAGCACTACCTACTGTGCCACTGCCTCGCCCATGTAATATTTAGTGTTGGGCAAATATTAATCATGATTAATTGCACCCAAATAAGTTTTTGTTTTGACATAATGTACGTGTGTATATTATACATGTTTATTATATATATATTATTATATATATAAAGGATACATGCATTAAAACTATACAAAACTATATACTCATCATATACGCATTTTATATCTAAATAGAAATAAATTTTCCTCGGATATTTGCATAGCTGTGTGTATTATGTCAAAACAAGCTTTTATTTTGGACTTGACTAATTGCAATACATTTTTGCCCAGCATTAGTAATATTTATTTAAAGCTCAATCTACTTTACAAAATAGTTCTTGAAACGCAGTATTTTGTAAATCATGAATAATTAGTTGTAATCTTTTGACTTGGACTACTGCTTTAACTTTGCTGGTCATTCGTAGTTGTTTTGTGTTGGTGCATTCACAGATCTGTATAGTGGAGAGTAATGGCTTATTTAAAAATTATGTGAAATTCCACACTAACATACAAAACTCCATCTAGCATGCAAAATGTGACAATCGTACGCAAATGTTCTCGATCAGGAGTTTCCAAACTCGTTCCTGGAGGGCCGGTGTCCTGCATAGTTCAGCTCCAACTTCCTTCAACACACCTGCCTGGAGCTTTCTAGTATACCAGAAACAGCTTGATTAGCTAGTTCAGGTGTGTTCAATTGGGGTTGGAACAAAATTATGCAGGACACCGGCCCTCCAGGACCGAGTTTTGACAGCCCTGTTTCTAGATGATAGATAGATGGTTATGTAGCTTAAGTTGATTAACTTAAATAATTTAATGATTAAAAATTAAAGCATTCAAATCAAATTACTTTTATTGTCACATCATCATCAGCAGCAAGTGTACTATGATGAGTGAAAGCTTAGGTGCTGGCTCCAGACCGTGCAAAATACAACAACATACTCAAGAAAAACAAAACAATATACTATTAGCAATGTTGACAGTAATGCGTGACAAATACGCTAAGAATACACTGTCTTGGCTCTTCTCATGCACAGCCTGGTGTAGATGTCCAGGAGGGAGGGAAGCTCGCCTCTTACTACGTGGCCAGCAGTTCGCATAATCCTATTTAGACCTTTACGATTGCTGGGGGTGCTATTTCCATAGCAGGAAGTGATTTAGCCAGTCAGGATGCTCTCCACAGTGCAGGTGTAGAATGAACGGAGAATGTTCGGGCTCATTTCAAACCTCCTGAGATGCCTGAGGAAGAAGAGATGTTGTGCCTTTCTCAACACCACATCTGTGTGGGCAGTCCATGTCAGATCCTCAGCGATGTGTACTCCAAGAAACTTGAATGTGCAGACTTTCTCAACTGGTGTCCCTGATTTTACTTATATTTACTTGTTTTTATGCTTTTAAATGAAACTTGGCTAGATGACAGCTGTAGTGCAGCAGTTATGAATGAAGCAGCTCCTTTAAACTTTAAAGGAGCTGCTTTTTGTGTTTGCAGAGTTAATAGGAGAGGTGGAGGCATCGCTGCCCTGTTTAAAAATGTATATGAGTGTAAACAAGTGTCATTTGGTGACTATTTGTCCTTTGAATATCTGAGTATAGCACTGAAAGGGGCTCCACGCATCTTACTGATCATTATCTACAGACCTCCAAAATATTCTTCAGCTTTTATTGATGACTTTACAGAGCTGTTATCAATTGTAACCTCTGAATTTGATTATTTTAGTATTGCTGGGGATTTTAATATTCACATTGATAATCCAGAAATCAATGCTGTAAAAGAACTGATGACTGTTTTTAACACTTTTGATCTGACTCAGCATGTTCAAGGACCCACACACAATCGTGGACACACTCTTGATCTACTTATAACTAAGGGTTTACACATTTCATCGACTGTTGTTAAGGATGTGGCACTATCTGATCATTTCTGTATTTTCTTTGATATATTGATCACTCCAGCTATTAAAGACAGATCTGTCTCTTTCAGAAAGAGATGCATAAATGAGAACACCAGTGAGCAGTTTATGAAGGCCATATCGCTAGCACCAAGTATATCTGCAGACTCTGTTGATTCTCTCCTTGATTTGTTTAATTCTAAAATTGAGAATGTCATAAATGACATCGCTCCTGTTAAAGTTAGGAAGAGAACTGGCAAAGAGAGAGTCCCTTGGAGAAACTCAAAGCAGTCCAAATGATAAAAAGACAATGCAGAAAAGCTGAGCGAATGTGGAGAAAGACGAAACTAGTAGTCCATTATAATATCTATATAGACAGTCTTCATGCTTTTAATGTGGAACTAAAACTGCTAGACAGACTTTCTTTTAAAACCTTATAAACAACAACGTAAATAATGCTCGCACACTCTTTGCAACAGTAGAGAGGCTCACAAACCCCCCCAGTCGGATCCCAAGTGAGCTCCTCTCTGAAAGCAAATGTAATGAGTTTGCTCATTTCTTTACTGACAAGATCAATAATATCAGAAAGGCAATCAGCTCATCCAATCAGCCAAGTTGTCTCAATGTCAAACAAGCTCAACCACAACTTAAGAAATCAGACATAATGTCTGATTTCATGGCAATTAACGGTAAAATCTTAGAAGAGATTGTGCAAATTATGAAAACATCAACCTGCAGTCTTGACACGCTCCCCACATCATTCTTCAAAACAGTGTTTACCTGTTTAGAAATGGATCTTCTAAAAGTGGTAAATGCTTCTTCTATCAGGGATTTTTCCAAACTCAGTTAAAACTGCAGTTGTTAAACCCCTCTTGAAGAAGAGCAACCTGGATAACACCCTATTGAGCAATTACAGGCCAATCTCAAATCTCCCTTTCATTGGCAAAGTCCTTAAAAAAAGTTGTTTTTAACCAGGTTAACAAGTTTTTAAACTTAAAGGGGTATTAAGACAATTTTCAATCTGGGTTCAGAGCACATCACAGTACAGAGAGCGCTCTTATAAAGATAATCAATGATATACGCCTAAATACAGATTCAGGTAAAATAACAGTGCTGGTATTGCTCGATCTTAGTGCCGCATTTGACACTGTCGATCACAGCATACTTCTGGAAAGGCTGGAAAGCTGGGTTGGGCTGTCTGGGACAGTCCTCAAATGGTTCAGATCTTACCTTGAAGGGAGAAGTTACTATGTAAGTAGACATGTGGTGCACAAGGTGCATGACATGTGGAGTCCCACAAGGCTTGATTCTGGCACCTCTCCTGTGCAACCTTTACATGCTCCCCCTGAGCAAAATAATGAGAAAGAACCAAATCTCCTACCAAAGCTATGCTGATGACACTCAGATCTACCTAGCCTTACTGCCTAATGACTACAGCCCCATTGACACCCTCTGCCAATGCATTGATGAAATTAACAATTGGATGTGCCAAAATTTTCTTAAGTTAAACAAAGAGAAAACTGAAATGATTGTGTTTGGGAACAGAGATGAGGTTCTCAAGGTGAATGCGTACCTTGGCTTTAAGGGTCAAACAACAAAAAATAAGGTCAAGAATCTTGATGTGACTCTGGAGTCAGATCTGAGTTTCAACAGTCATGTCAAAGCAGTCAGTAAATCAGCATACTATCATCTCAAAAATATTGCAAGAATTAGATGCTTTGTTTTCAGTGAAGACTTAGAGAAACTTGTTCATGCTTTTATCAGCATCAGGGTGAATTACTGTAATGGTCTCCTCACTGGCTTTCCCAAAAAGACAGTTAGACAGTTGCAGCTCATCCAGAATGCTGCAGCCAGAGTTCTGACCAGAAGCAGGAAATCAGAGCACATCACACCTGTCCTCAGGTCTCTACACTGGCTGCCAGTTACATTCAGAATAGATTTTAAAGTATTATTACTGGTCTATAAATCACTAAATGGCCTAGGACCTCAAAACATTACAGATATGCTCACTGAATACAAACCCAACAGATCACTCAGATCTTTAGGATCATATAAACTAGAAATTCCAAGAGTTCAGTCAAAGCAGGGTGAATCTGCCTTCAGCCACTATGCCCCTCGCTGCTGGAATCAGCTTCCAGAAATGATCAGATGTGCTCCAACATTAGGCACATTCAAATCAAGACTGAAAACACATCTGTTTAGCTGTGCCTTTACTGTATGAGCACTGTGCTACGTCCGACAGATCGCACTATTATGTTTTTTCGTTTTCTTTTTCATTCTTTTATAACCTATTTTAACACACTTTAAATTGTTTTTATCTGTTTTTAATCATTTTATTGTCTGCATTTTATGTCCTAAACTTGTCTTTTTTATTCCTGTTTATGTAAAGCACTTTGAATTGTCACTGTGTATGAAATGTGCTATATAAATAAACTTGCCTTGCCTTGCCTTATTCAAGAAAAAAGTTTCTCTTATGTGTGTATAAAAGGGTAGAAAAGGTTGCTGCATTGTTAACTTTAATCATTTTGTTTGCTACTTACTTGTGGATTTTTTTAATTCTACGCATAGTTCTTTGTAATATAAGAAATTTATCCTTTTTGTGCAGGTAACACCGTATATCAGCCAGTGACAGTGGTCACACCACAGGGACAAGTGGTGACACAGGCCATCTCACCTGGAGCACTACACATCCAGAACTCACAGGTTTGTATTATGCTTTAGCACAGTGTTTCTCAACCTTATTCTTGGAGGACCACCAGCTCTGCACATTTTCTATATCTCCTTAAACAAACACACCTGATTCAGATCATCAGCTCATTGGCAGAAACTGAAAGTCTTGTAATGGGTGTGACAGACAAAGGAGACATCCAAAACATGCAGTGTTGGTAGTCCTCCAGGAATGGTTGAGAAACACTGCTCTATCACATCTACTAACCAATAGCTGGGTTTCTATTCTAAAGTAAAACATTGTGCAAATGCAAAGTCCGAACCCATTTGAAACGAGCAATGAAACATATTAGCAAACTTAAGGAATTTGTATTAGAAATTTGGTGTGTACATCACTTGTTTCTGATGCAGCTATTGACACCTTGTGCTTACTGTAGCTCCAACTTCAGCTCAATCAGGACTTGAGTTTCTTCGGGGGAGACGACAGCTCACCTAAAAACAAACGTGGCGTTCTTCCCAAACAGGCAACCAATGTCATGCGCTCCTGGCTCTTTCAGCACATTGCGGTTAGTAGGCAAAGCAATGCTTGAAATCAGTCTGAGCTTTTGTTTTGTTGTACCTGGTATAATTATATATCTGTAATAAAACCTGTTATAATATAAAAATGCTCCTTTTTTCGACTATTTAGCACCCGTATCCCACTGAGGAAGAGAAAAAGCAAATTGCAACTCAAACAAACCTGACTTTACTTCAAGTCAACAACTGGTAAGTTCATTTAGCAATCACACCAAGTAGACCGTGGCTCAACAACTATTCAGCTGACTTGACCGGATCAACTAGAGTTAAAACACCATCAGTACTTGCTTCTGTTAAGAATTTATCCACATAAAGTTTAGCATGCTCTGTTAGGCCATGTCTTTATTGTGAGGTACAGTTTAGCTTGGCTTGCTTTGCATTTCCTCTGCATTTCAGTACTGCTTAAAGTGGGTGGGATTATCACTAGAGTTGCACTGATTGTACTGTAATGACCTCCTAAAAATCTTTTTTTTATTATTCTGGACCCTCCCAGAATTTTGTTTCCCAATTAGGCTGCATTTACACTGCACTGTTCAAGTGACTCAATTCCGAGTTTTATTTATTTATTTATTAGTAAGGAGGAACAAATCACATGGATTCTGATTTGCTCAAATCAGATTAAGGCCTTGTTCATATATGGAAATTTATCCGATATGAATCAGATCTGTGTTCTTGTGTCTGCAGTGTAAGCAGGTAGATCCGATTTTCACCTGTCAATGAGAGTCGCGCATCATTAAAAACCATAGCGAATGATGTCAAATCTGACACTTTCATTTCAGAACAGACTTCAGCAGAGTCCCAAACCTTAAATCTCATACACAAGGACTTAAACAGCTTTTATATTGTTTAAAATATAAATTTTGTTTTATATTGTCTTTTTATATTGGTATTTAAGCATGCTAACGAGAGTGAGAGAGGGCAATGTCCGCCACGTAACCAATATACAGTCACAAAATTGGAATTGACCATCAAGATCTACAGTGTTAATGCAGCCTTAGAGAAGTGTCTGGATCTCTTCTACTGACCGCAATGCCGCCACTTCAAGTGTCTTTTAAAATTGTTGCAAATCCAGTTAATGTCGGTAGACTATTCTCTATGACCAATCCACGATCAGCCGTGTGTATACGTCACATTTTGTTAAAATAAACATTTTCAATGTTTATTGTGCAGAGTACATTGTTATTCTTTAGGTAAACAATTTATTTGTGCAAGTTAATTTTTCTTAAAAAAGAATGTTACAAGTTTAATTACAAGTTTTGGTAATCTTCAAAGTTTGACCATTTACTTTCCCTTTTGGAGTGGTGTTTCCGCTGTTGATGTCAGTTTGACTGCTTCAGCCACATTATTCTTAATCAGGCCCCTCTTACCATTAGTTTGCTATGAAGGAAGAACGTCCTACCTCCTGTTCAATATTTCGTTTCAGTTGCAAGTATATTAACATACTGAAATAAGTCTCTGCAATTTCCAGTTCATGCAGACTTAAATAGTACGGCTCACTTGGAACCTCACTAGATACTATGTACTATGGTTGGGAAGCACAGGAAAAGCCCCCTGCATTAAGCTGTGCTGTACTAAACCACGCCACACTAAGCAGCGGAAAAAAACACTTTTAGTGTGTTTTTCAATAAATGTGAATGCTGCCATATATATTGTGAAACACTCATAACAAGCAGACCAATATAGCTGAACAGACGAGTGTCACTCAGCTCATGATGTGGTTTGACTGATATATAAAGGCAACACAGACCACAGGCAGCTAAACAAATTAAAAACAGGACATGATGTCACGATATGTGACTCTGAACATGTTTAAGCTTCATTAGATCTTTTATCTGGTGCCATTTTGACTCCTTTACACATTTTTTGATCTCTTCAATGGTTCTCATAAAATTCTATTTTCCATGTGCGTGCATGCTAATGTCAGCTTATCATTATTTTGGAAGTTCTGTTCCAAAGTAAATGTCACAAAATCAGTTTTTGCTAATTTGTTTTGTTTCTTTAATTTTGCAAATGATAGTGTGAACAAACCAGCATTTTTTTCTTTTGGTCCTGACCAAACAAGCTAAGAGAATCGTGCTCTCAGTCCCTAAAAACAGGACAATCTATTATGCTTAATGTGTTAAAAATAAATGAAGACTGTAACCTACAAACTCAGTATACACCCTCATTTATGATGTACGAAAAATGAGAATACGAAACACACAATATTTAATGCATTAAGCGTTGTCTGTAATCATGTTTATCTATCCCTGTACATATATTCATATATTGTAACATATACACTTGTAATCATGTTTATCTATCTGCACACTACTGATTATTAATAGCAACCTGCACATATATTGTAAATCTGTTTATAGCTTATCCAACCTGTATATAATGTTCATAGTACATCCATCTGTAAATTTCACCATAGTTTTCTATAACTGCACTTTATAATTTATTCCTGTGTCCTGCACTTGCTGCTATTTCACTGCTGGTTAGACCTAAACTGCATTTCGTTGCATTGTACTTGTACATGTGTAATGACAATAAAGTTGAATCTATCTATCTATCTATCTATCTATTATCTATCTATACTGTGTGTCCAGAAAGTATTTCTGGAAAGGCTTCACTTTTTCAACATTTGTTAATGCTTCAGTCTAAAATGAGTTCAATTCATTATTACCCTCTTAATTTTACAAACTTTACCCCAATATGACAACATGAAGTTTTTTTTTTATGCCCTGGGAATTCTTTATTGTTGTCGTTTGATCTGGAGCAGCTTTTCTTCAAAGATGCTTCTTTGCTGTTTTTTAATTTATTTTTTTTTTGCTTAAAAAGATATTTTAAGGCCTGAAAAGATGTTTACCCCAATGCAGAATGACAACTTTAGCAAACTTTGTTTACTAAAACAAGCGCTGAGAATACTTTTTGGATGCACTGTAATTTTTGTCTTGCAGAAAAGAACTTATTTCATTATTTGTGTTAAAATCCTGGCCACAGCTGTATGTTTCAGATATTTCATCAATTGACAAACTAAACAGGAAAATTTCCATGATAACCTGGTATGCAGTATACAAGTTACATATTGCCTGCATTTTGCCTACAGGTTTATTAATGCTCGAAGACGAATACTGCAGCCAATGCTGGATGCCAACTCAACAGAGGCATCTAAAAGCAAGAAAAAGGTGGCTCAGAGTCGCCCGCTGCACCGCTTCTGGTCCGACTCCATCGCCTCTACAGGAAGCCAGCAGCAGCTCACAATGCCAGACGGTACAATTTAAGTTCTTCTAACTTGACCCATGACCCAGTTGTCTTGGTTTGGTTTTACAGGGTTTGCCCTTGCGTGATTGTGTGCAGGGAGTTTGGTTACTGTGGGAATGAATGTTGACGGCTTCCAGGCGCTTTCTTCAGATGGAGCCACTCTCGCCATGCAGCAGGTCTTGATGGGAAATCACAGCGAGGATGAGACTGATGAAAGCGGCAATGAAGACGACACAGATATGTCAACCGCCAACATGCCCGGTCTGGGTTTAGACGTCAGCGACTAAGACGCATGGATTGCAGGTCACACACTGCATGCTTACATTTACATTGGAAAACTTGCAGATGATGCTTGTTGCAAGAGATCCGCTCCCTATGTAGATTTTCAGCAAAGCTGATACTTGTGCACTACAAAAAGAATTAAGTACTGTATGTTGACCTTTATGTTACACAAAACACAAGTGAACAGTTTACAGAGAGCACAACGTTACTGAAAGCAGCAAACCGAGGAGTGTCATTTTTACCACAAAGAGGTTTGTGCACTTTTATACAGATACACTTGGAGAAGACTGCAGAAATGGAGGACGGAGGAACCTTTTGAAACTCCTTTAGTGAATGTTTGGTCAATTTTGTTTTCTGTATTAACTCATTTGGATGCCAAGAGTGTGTCGTCGTGCTGGTTTTATTCCCACTGCATGTTTGTGTTCTCTTCAGTATGCTCACGCTTGTAGAGACTCCAAGACGGAGTTTGAGAAAAGAGATTATTTTTATATATAAACGTTGTATAAAAGTGTTGTTTTTCTTTTGCTGTTTTTTTTAGTGTTTTATAGGGAATATTTATGTACAGAAACGATACTATCTGCCCTGTTTTCAGGGGATGAGTTTTTCTTCTTGTTTTTAGAAAAACAAACAAAAAAAAGATCTTGGAGTTAAACCATTGTTTCAATTTGTGAATTGGTTTTAACACTCGCGTACAAAATGCCTTACACGTCCTTTTGTAAAACTCTTTTGCTGATAAGCACAGAAATCCGGATGCATTGATGAAATTGAGTAATATCTGTTCAAGTCTCTTCCAGTAATCTTTCCTTCGTTTCAGAGGGATCTCTGTTTTTGCTCTGTAGGCTGATGTAGTTTGATCTCACATGTGCAAAGCTTATCAATCAGATTCATGAAAGAAGCTTTGGAAATGAAAATGGCATAAAATGTCCATTATTGAAGTCAAATAAAGGTCAAGTCTGAATATTTTGCCACTCTGTTTTTACATTTAATGTTGTTAATTGTGTGTTGTTGTTTTTAAGCAATTATTTAAGGACTGTTAACACTAAAATAGTTTAATATTAAAGCTTGACCAAGTTTTGCGACTGGAAAAATGTTCTGCATGATGGAGCCTTTGTTTCTTTTCTTCCTGTTTATTGCATTTTTGACAGAAGCACATTGTCCACTTGATGTCTTTGAAAATAATCATGTCAATTACTCCTGACAAGTCGGACAATTGTTTGGCAGTTATTTCTTAACACAATAGCAAGTACTGTATAAGACTACTTACACCAAATAAAACCTTTCCAGATATGAATGCACAAGTTGGTTGAAGGCAGAAGTCTGATTTCCCACGATTAAACTCAGTAATTAGAGCTGACTGTTAGCGGATGGAGAATTTCTTCTCTCTGTGTGGAAAAAAGGCAAAAGGATGTCAGTGCACGTTTGTAACCGCAAGAGGGCAGCAGTTCATCATAATTAGACTACTCGCGAAGGCACAATGTCAACAGCAGTGTGCTGTATATTTTTCCATTACGTTGCAACATTCATTTCCCCCTTTGCAAAAGTAATGCTTTTAAATTTCTTTAAAATAAAGAAAACTTACACATGAAATTAAATAGTGTTATAGTAGGTACAGTTGGGCACAAATGCCCGAGAATGTGTTTATGTAACCCCGCCGATTTTACACCACCCAACCCGCTCCGAGCAGGGAGTGAACCGGCTTCCTTTCGCATGAGAGTCGGTTGCTCTAACAAGGAGACTAAAGACCATAACCTTTAATAACTTTCACTAGAGCACGTACAGAGGTCAGAGGAGTGAGGTTTACCTGCACAGTACTTACTAGCTGGCCTCCGTTACATTTACAATAGAAAATACATCATTTTGATTAATGATTTTAAACAGTATTTTGAGGATGGAGAAAATAAATTTAAAATCTAGCAATCACTTAAGGTTTAAAAATATTTGAACTGTTTTGAACTGTTATACTGTGTATAAGCCTACTGTATGTTTGTTGTAACTATACTATTTAAGACACGTTAGGTGTATATTAATTTAGAGCATTTTTATGTGGTCATGTCATTGGCCCATGAACATTTACGACTTATCAAACTATTTCAAAACCGTATCAAGAGGCAATTCCATTATAACTTAATGCTATTAAAACGTGATTATTTATCAATATTTGGCTCTTTTTGGATTCTCGGAAGGTATAGAAATTAATGATGTGAAAAAAGGCAATACATTGGGATCATTGTTATTGTTTACATTCCTCAAAGTGGTCTTTATGAGTCTGTTTTTAAAACTATTAGATAAAATCAAGAGATTTTTCGGTTCTGACGATGAGGAGGTTCTCAGACAGTGACGTCACGTCTAAACATTTGATGAAGTTCTCATGAAGCGCTATAATTATAACATCACAAAGCCCAGTTCACCACAAACTACTTTCTTGAACACAACATCGAGTTTACTAAACTCAAAAAAACTCTAGTTTTAGGATTTCAATTCAAAAGAGCACAATGGGGATGTGGTGAAATAGGAGACTGACATGGATTGCGTAGGCTAAGCCAGGGTTAAAGGTATTGCATCAGAATTGACCCTTCGCAAAGCCCAGTCCTCCTTAGTTACTGTTGCTACGCCTGTCAAGCTTTCGTGACTGGCACGGCTTTTACAATGTGTATGCGCCGGTGTCAGACATTGACAGGGATATAAGGTCATTTTTGGGGAACAGGTAAGATACCTGAGAAAGCCAGACAAAAAAGGACTGCAGTATACTTTACAGGGGTATATTCACTACATAATAGACAACCGGTTCAAGAATAATTCAATCAAAATTGAAGCTAGCTAAGCCTAGCAGCCTCATATGCTGATCATTCAACAGTTTAGCTTTATGCACAGCAGGAGAGGTGAAATTAAAAAAATAATCTAATAATAACTAATTAAACCATGATTTCAGTATTTTTAGCCAAAAAGCCTGATAGATTAATTGTTTTGCAATGAAACCTAGCATTACTAATTGACGAGGAAACACGCATAGAGAGTGCTTTTAAATAATTCATAGAAAGAGCAGCCAGAATAGAGAAATTGATGGATTTGTGTCGAATATTAGCATCATTGACCCATAACAATGTACAGTAAGTTATCTATAACTTAGTATGTTTGTGTGCTCTTTATAAATGACTGAAAAACAGCTGCTGGTAAAGTATGTTGATCGCAAGTGCTCAGTTTGTGATCACTTCTCTTTTGTTCTGTTGATTTGTGATTTCAAATATTCGTAGCTTAAAATAGATGGAAATATGAAGTTCAGTAAAGTTAGCAACAGATTTGCAGATTCATATTTGCCGGATCAATAACTCATGTCATTATGGCCTATTCACTATTAGCATGACTAACGTTACTATGGCGAGGGCTTAAACGGAGCAGTGCTCATAATATCGAGCGGCCAAAAAGAAAAAGACAGCTGTGAAACGTAACCTGCTTTGTATTTTTGTAGGAAACACAGTTTAGATCTGTTTAGGTTAAGAGGTGTGAGTTATTGCCGTCGGTCTATCACTGAATGTGTCAGGAATATCAAAACAAAACCAACTTAACTCCACTCCTTAAGCATCCCTCACACAGTTTGATCCACGCTGGCATTTCTCCTCTTGTGTTTTTGGTTTTGAAAAGGGAAAAAAATAAATCATCCCGTCCAAACTTTAGGATACCGGGTATCAGTTGTGCACAATTCATAAGCACAACACTTTGGCCTGTTTCCCTCGCAAGCTTGACAGAGCCCCTGCGCGTAGCAATGGTTGCTAAGCCACGATTGGTGGGTGGCGGTTTTTGGGTGTTGCTTAGCGAAGAGTCAATTCCGCTGTCATTTAATCGCTCTTCACTTTTTACAAACTTCCGTTGAACGCAAAAGAAGATATTGTAAAGAAAGGTAGAAACCATGACTTCCAGAGTGTGTGTTTTCCTATGGTTATGGGTTTTTGGCCTTCTCAATAATATCTTCTATTGTGTTCAACAGACGAAACTAAAACCGGTTTGGAACAACTCAATGAGTAAACCTAAATTTAGATTTTTTGGGTGGACTATCCCATTCACTCCAAGGGGGATTTCCAGAAAGCAGTTCATGTGCAGTCTGCTTATGTGGCTCACCCGGATAAGTTCACGGATAGACTATGCAATCGGATAACCTCATCTTTCGCTTACACAGGTAATATGGTATGTAAGATTCCATAGCAACTATTCTCTTACCTGTTCCCAGATTAGTGAGGTGTAGATGTCTGTGTGTTTCTTATAATATTTCTTAACATATTTTATAAGTTCTCAACAAAACACATGGTGGATTATAATTTTTTCTTCCTTTTTTATAACAAAATCCTTTCAATATAGATCCGTTCTGCACTTTTATTATAGAAATATATTTCACTAAAACTAATGTGGAAGCAAAACAGACCAGTTATGCCAAAATATATAAACCTGTACATTATCCTGACTTATTATTCCAATTACTTCATTTAATGGATGATTAGCATAAAAAATAGACATAAAGATAGAAGATTTGAGGTCAAGATAAAAGACTGTGCAACTACCGACAGGAGGCGTTAGGAATGTAACTCAAGGCTGGTAAAGGCCAACATTTAACCACTTGCAGCTGATTTCTTTTTATAATCTATGGGTTAAAGGTTTGAAATGTTATTATTTATATTTATATGGTTGCATTAAACTATTTTACTGTACAAAATTTGTATTTTACCATTAATAAATAATCTGCTAGAATAGTGAGTAAGAGCAAGATTGTTGCTAAATAATAACAGCAAAAGCATATGTGATATACAAAAAAAGTTCATACTATTTAATTCATATCCTAAATGTTTATTTTTTTAATAACTTATTTAAAATAAATTTCACAAGTTTATGGTTTACTTCTGGCAAAGTTTTTTTTTTTTTTTTTTTTACCAGACGGAGAGACATCTGTCGATTAGGTAAGATTTTTATTTAATACATACATTGATGTAAAATGTGTATTTAAAAAAAAAAAATCTGTATATACGAAAGGTTGGTGGTATATTTTGAGTTTTAATATTATTTGATTAGATTTGATTGGTCATTAAGGTAGGTTTGGGCTGGTTTTGACAGACCATTTGGCTAGTTTTGTCCCCAAAACCTGGCAACACTGATGTTAGAAAGTAAATGTCTGGCATGTTGCATTTTAGTGCCTGTTTCCATGGTTGTGGTTTCTGTGTTCAGTTGAGAATGTCTTTTGTGTTCATAGTTACTATAGTGAACTAATGTATTGAATGGTTAACAGTTGACTGAACTTATTCCCATGAGTTGTTTTGGAACCAACATAGCTCAAGTAAACAGGTTTAGTGTTAATTAACATAAAATTCAACTAGTCATTGTAAGTTTATAAATACCCATGATCATTCTGCTGACCTCCATCTGCAGATGTGTCCAGGTGAGGAACTGTGTGATGCACAAAACTTTATAAAGAGGCAATTCCATCATAAATTAATGCTATCCTAACATGATTATTTATCAATATTTTGGATTATTTATAATACGTTTTGGATTCTTGCAAGGTATAGAAATTAATAATGTAAAACAGGCAATACATTGGGATCATTGTTATTGTTTACATTCCTCAAAGTGGTCTTTATGAGTCTGTCTTTGAAACTATTAGATAAAATCAAGAGATTTTTCGGTTCTGACGATGAGGAGGTTCTCAGACAGTGACGTCACGTCTAAACATTTGATGAAGTTCTCATGAAGCGCTATAATTATAACATCACAAAGCCCAGTTCACCACAAACTACTTTCTTGAACACAACACCGAGTTTACTAAACTCAAAAAAACTCTAGTTTTAGGATTTTAATTCAAAAGAGCACAATGGGGATGTGGTGAAATAGGAGACTGACATGGATTGCGTAGGCTAAGCCAGGGTTAAAGGTATTGCATCAGAATTGACTCTTCGCTAAGCCCCGTCCTCCTTAGTTACTGTTGCTACGCCTGTCAAGCTTTCGTGACTGGCACGGCTTTTACAATGTGTATGCGCCGGTGTCAGACATAAAGTTCAGGGTTGAGCAAATGCCAAGTCAACTGTACTCCAGTAAAACACCCCTGGACACATTCTAGTCATTGTCAGTTTACAAATACCCATGATCATTCTGCTGACCTCCATCTGCAGATGTATCCAGGTGAGGGACTGTGTGATGCGTGTGTAAACCCCGGGTTTGTTCTTTTCTGCACAACCTTGACCCCAGCTTGTGGCCCCCACCAATTTCCAGATGGAGGAATCCTCACATGCCAGAGGACCACCGCTATCACCCTATTTCAACAAGACACGGATGTGCTTTAGACACTCCAATTGACTCAACTACAGTGTTTAATGTAGACATGCGCACTGGGTTTTCAGGTCCAAGAAAATAATCCAGACAAATGACATCTGAAAACCCGCCCAAGAGGAATGAAAAGAAGTCCTTACTCTTAATTACGGCAATACCACGAAAGGAAAGTTTGATCACATATTCTATTACGCCAGGGCTGACTAAATTAGAAACATAGGAATAAATAATTAAATATACAAATAAATGAATAAATAAATGTACAGAGTAAAGTAATTATGCTTTTTACTTTTAATAACCTTATTTTACATTTATATCCTCTTAACTGTCACCATATTTTAAGTTCAGAATCAAAATATGTTTAATTATATTTACTTTTTATTTTACTTAATTAGATCTACCAGATGAAATAAACTATCATGTTTTTGAACCATATAACCTATAATATTTACAGCGCTTTGTTAATAAATCCACAGCATGCTGTAGTATTAACTATAGTGAACTGATGAACTGTAATACACACTCTTCACCAGGGTTGGGCAAACTCGGTCCTGGAGGGCCGTTGTCCTGCATAGTTTAACTGCAACACTAATCAAGCACACCTGAACATGCTAATCAGTATCTTCAAGAACACTAGAAATCTATAAGCAGGTGTGTGTGATTAGAGTTGGAGCTAAACTGTGCAGGATACCAGCCCTCCAGGGCCGAGTTTGCCCACCCCTGCTCTACACTGTAAAAAATATATTGACTCAACTCAAAATTGTAAGGCAGAATTTGCTGCACAGCTTTTTTTTTGAGTTGACTCAACTTTCATCGCAAGTACTGCGCTTGACTCGATTTAAGTAAACTCACAAATGTCCTGAAGCTGGTTGCCCTTTTTTTTTCATTTTTACTACAGTAATCTGTAGTGTATTGTAGTATAATACATGTAGTGAAAGTAATATTGGGCAACTTGTTTATATTACTAAAGACTTACTACAACACAGTAATTCACGTACTTTAGTATGGCACATAACACACTATACTATACTATGAATGACTGTTTTTTTTATGTGGGATTACAGCAGGGCCGCGCACAGGGGTGTGGCCCAGTGGCTAGAGCCACTGCCCCTTTGCTTTCATTGGCTGAGGTGCCCCTGAGCACACACACCCCCCCCCCCCCCCCCCACCTCAACACTAACCCATCCACTCTTCACTTTGTGAACGCACTCCAACCCCCCTAGCCTCAACCACCCAACCACACCAACCCCCCAAACACACCCCTCCCCACGCTCTGCACTTTGCGATCAACTCTCTCTCTCGATCACCGGCCCTGTGAGGGTCTGTGCACGAGCCTGGATTACAGTGTATCCGGAAAGTATTCATAGTGCTAAACGTTTTCCAATGTTTATTTTACAACCTTATTCCAAAATGGTTTAAATTAATTTATTTTCTCAATATTCTACAAACAATAAAAAGATTTTTTGAAATAGTTGCAAATTTAGAAAAAAAAATATATAAATTAAAAATCACATGTACATAAGTATTCACAGCCTTTGTCCTGAAGCTCTAAACTGAGCTCATGTAAATTCTGTTTCCACTAATCACTCTTGAGATATTTCAGCAGCTTAATTGGAGTTCACCTGTGGTAAATTCAGTTGATTGGACATGGTTTGAAAATGCTGCACCTTTCTATATAAGGTTCTAGGGTTGACAGTGCATGTCAAAGCACAAACCAAGCATAAAGACAAAGGAATTGTCTGTAGACCTCTGAGACAGGAGGCACAAGGCTGGGGAAGGTTACAGAACAATTTCTGCTGCTCTGAAAGTTCCAATGAGCACAGTGAACTCCATCACATGTGAAAGAAAAATGTTTAGAACCACCAGGACTCTTCCTAGAGCTGGCTGGCCATCTATGCTGAGTGATCGGGGGAGAAGGGGCTGAGACAAGGAGGTGATCAATAACCCGATGGTCACTCTGTCTGAGCTCCAGCTCCAGACAGAAGCCACTTCCTGCCTGGAATTTGCCAAAAGGCATTTGATGGACTCTCAGACCATAAGAAACAAAATTCTCTGGTCTGATGAAACTAAAATTGAACAATATAAAGTGAATGCCAGGCGTTACGTTTGGAGAAAACTAGGCACCGTCCATCACCAGGCAAATACCATCCCTACAGTGAAGCATGGTGGTGGCAGCATCATGCTGTGGGGATGTTTTTCAGCAGCAGGAACTGGAAGACTAGTCAAGATAGAGGAAAAGATGAATGCAGCAACGTACAGAGACATCCTGAATAAAAGCCTGCTTCAGAGTGCTCTTGACCTCAGAATTGGGTGAAGGTTCTTCTTCCAGCAGGACAATGACCCAAAGCACACCGCCAAAATATCAATGGAGTGGCTTCACAACAACTCAGTAAATGTCCTTGAGTGGCCCAGCCAGAGCCCAGATCTAAATTATATTGAAAATCTCTGTAGTGATCTGAAAATGGCTGTACACCGTCACTTTCCATCCAACCTGTTAGAGCATGAGAGGTACTGCAAAGAGAAATGGGCAAAAAATTCAAAAGACAGGTGTGCCAAGCTTGTGGCATCATATTCAAATATAATAATAATAAACTAATAATAAATGAATTTAATACATTTTGGAATAAGGTTGTAACAAAAAAAAGTGAAAAGAGTGAATAAAGCTATAAAAGCTATAAATACTTTCCGAATGCACTGTATATATGCATATTATACATAGTTAATTTATATATAGTTATATATAGTTTTATATATTTATATATAGTTAATCAAGAAAACTTCTGGTTTAGACAAACAAACAATTTTAAAAATGTGTAAAATATGTAGGTTATACAGAAAAATGTCCACCTGTAGGACGGTGAGAGTTAAACTGTAGTATTTAATGTATGTTTGCACAGTAATATTGCAATGTTGGCATACATGCTAATGCAAAGTTTACTGAGATAACCTGCTGTTCCTGTTCACACATGGATCAGTAAACGTACACTTATCCAGAATAAAGAGCTTAAATATAATTACATGCACAAATAACGCAGCCCGGATCAATGAATATCTTCTGTATGGACTCCAGTACTGTATATATCAGTCTATGATGAGATGATGTACCTGACAGGAGTCTGTTCCTCCATCCAGATAGCCAGCGCAGATCATTCCTGCTGTTAGATAGCCCTGGTAAACCTCCGGCTGACTGCAGGCCTTATTGGAGATCAGAGGGACACTTGCACAGTGCTGAGACACACTTGCATCTCCTAAAACACAGAACACAATACACATTTGGTGTGTACACCACATATATATGTCAGACCCCACTTTATATTCTTCTTGGGTCAGTTATTTAGATCAGAATGATCTTTTTTAGCACAGCAGTTTATGAACTGCATTTTCCACAGCATAAACAGCAGGGCCTTAGTCTGACTGATCTAAAAAAACGCTTGCTTTAGGTGATGTGATGTTATTTTTATTTTCAGCTTTCCATTTGTCATGGTGTAATGATTTGTCTAGCTATTTTGTGCCTGCTGGCAGTTGCCATCATTACAGAATTTTTTTCTCCTCAGCATTTACTCATACTTAGTTATATGAACTTCTTTTTTCTGTCCAACACACAACAAGATATTCTGAAAAATGTTGCAAACAAGTTTGGAACATTTTTTGAGTGAACTATCCCTATAAAGCCATAAAATGTCTGTGTATTCTGCCAATATTTGTTTTAAAATATAAATCCAGAAAGACTAATCATGTATTTCACAGACAACAAGGGCATCCTGAACAGTTAGCATTGAGATTATAAAAAATTAAATAAATTAAAAAGATAAAAATTAGGTTAATATAATGAAATGTAAAAGATATAAAAGTAAATAAATATATTTATCTAATCAACTATTGATTTATTCAAATATTTTTTTCAAACAAAAATAGAAATGACAAAAGATAACAATTCTTGATAAAATTTACATAAAAAATACAACAGGTTAAAAAAAACATCTGCTGTTGATTTTATTTTTCCGCAATTGAACACACAACATAGCAATGGCAGCAGTTGCATCTGACTGACTTCATGGCACTATATTTAAATGTTTCCAAAATATAAAAAATACAGGTCTGAACTGAACATGGAAAATAATCTCCGGGTAATGGTCTCCAATATTATTAGTATATATAGAATATTAAACCAAGAATGAACTTGCTGTGCTCCGCAAATTTTGCCCACCCATCAGGTGAGGTAATGTAAAAACTAAAGAAATGAATAAATTACTATCAAGTTATATGGTTGTTAGACTGTTACATTTAGTGTGTGTGTTGTCAATATGCTTGTGTTTATATAGGCCTCTTGGTGTCTGTGTGTGCGCCATTGCATGCAATGTTTGTATATAAATATATATATATAATATAACTGCCTTTGAGGATAGTAGGGGTCACTAGTCAGGAACATTTTTTTTTGGAGTCATGGGCTGAAAAGTTTGACACTGGCCTGGATAAAACAAACCTAAAGGAAAAAATTCTAAAGAATTTTGGAAAGTAGCAGCCATTAATTCGCAAAGTATTATATGTGTCCACTATGCTTTGACATTAAAATCCCACTTCAATTCAGTATTTTTTTTTAATTGTAAATAGTGTTAATCTATAATCAAGTTTTCCATCTTGCACATCTATTTTTGTTGGCTTCTTTTATTCCAGTCCTATGCTATTGATGATCTTTTTTTAATGTCTTGGGCCGTCATATTACATTTCACTGCATATCGTATACTGTGTATGACTGTGTGCATGACTAAAATTTTAGTATGATATTTGAATGGCAACTGGTTTCCAACATTCTTCAAAATATCTTCCTTTTTGTTCAACGGAAGGCAAATAAATTCATAAAACATTAAAACCAGCTCATTTTTAAGTGAACTTCTTCTCTTAAGTGAACTTCATTTTAAATCCTCAAACGCACCTCCATCCTCAGTGGCACCCCATCCTGAGATCCAGCACATTTTACCGTCCTCAAACTGCTCTCCAAAGTTAGGCAGACAGATAGGCTCCACCATACCTGAGAAACATGCTGATATCAGTCCATCAAACAAGTCATTTGTCAAAGTGAATGCAAAACACGAGATAAGATTGACCGGCCATTTGCATCACAGCTATCAGTTCCTCACACTTGCTGGATTAAAAGAAACGTTACCCCATGTGGTGCTTCAATAGAGTCATTTGCACTTTAAAAAACAAGGTACCATTGAAGGTGAGGGGCTGCGCCAGTTTCATCAGAGCAATATCATGGTCCAGGCCTTTGGGTCTGTAGCGGCTGTGATAAATGATCTTCTCCACGGCGAAAGCCTTTACTGCATTCAGTGGCAGCTCGGTCAATCCCGCATAGACCATCCAATACATAGGATAAGCAATCCTGCATGGAAATCAGACTATGGTCATTTACACATGACTGTGTGAATGGGGATTGATGAGGACAGCATTAACTCACCCGTACACACAGTGGGCAGCAGTGAGGATCCAGCGAGACGTTATGATGGATCCGCCACAGAGGTGCTCATTCTGGAAGTGTAGGCTGACCTGCCAGGGGAACTGACCCTCAGCTGACAGGTTGCCACCAACTATACGAGCGCTGAACTTGGGTCTTGAACCACAAGCTGTGCAGAAATACAAGAAATACAAAATATGATTACTGAGACTGAACTGAACATGAACTTACCTTTAGGCAAACATTTGCTTACCTATGCACTTAAGTGCTGTTACCATTCCCAGACTGCACTTAGTTTTACTAGGAAAAGAGATAAGAAAATGTTATGACATAATGTGGTTATTTCTGCCTAAAACTATTTCTGCACCCTCAAAACGAAAATTTTAACCTCTGATTGTTGTGTTGACAAGAGTTAGAAATGACTAATAAAATGAATGCACCATATTCAATTCAGGGGCAGTTCTTGAGGGGTGGCATCTAATCACTCTATCACTAGTTATGTTTCTATTCAAAGATGTAAATTAAGTTTATGCGCAAAACTAAAATACTGCATAACAGATTTGGGAATAATGCAGCCTTTATATTCAATGAATCAAAGAAAACAATATCGTCACTTTCTGAAAAACTTGTGGCAAATATCAAAAAGAAAAAGGGAATTTGCTTTGGTATATGAAGTTATGTAAATACTTACTTTTTCTTGTACAATAAATGACTACCTCGGTAGACTCTTTGAGAGCACAGATGCTCAACACAATTCTGGATGTACTGTAATAATACTGAACTATTGTGATGACGGACTTTGGTTAAGACATTTTCGAATGACTAAAACAGCATTTCAGATGTTCTATAATGTGGTCAGCTGAGTGTCTCATCTATTTCATCATCACATGATCTCTTATAACAAAATCACATACTAAAGTTTTTCTGGTAAAAGTGTTTCCATCATAGTTTATGTGCATTTTTTTTCTAATCAGTTAAAACGTTTATCCTACTTAGTTGTGCGCATTGTAATGCACACTTTCAGAATGTATGTGCATATTGATGTTACCACCAAGCATTTTTATGTGATAATCCAAAATGTGCATAAAATATGTGAATGGAAACATGGCTACTGATAATTATTGCACTGTCAGCTCAATTTATGTTTGGACAACATGATAGAATTGTGTGGAACCCCAAAATTTGCTTTACAGTGTACACAACAAGACTGCTTACAATTTATAGATCAAATAAATATTTAACAAAAGATTCTTTAAGAAAAAAGTTTTTTTTTAATTATGAGATTGATAAAAAAACAACTTGTAAAAATGATGTGTATTTCTGTGCTGTTCTATAATCCACTACTGTACAACTAGGGGTCCCAAGAACTCCCACAAAAAGAACTATAGCATTACTTCAAATAACTTTGACCGCAATGCTTGTTTTTTTTTGCTTTTTTTAACCATATGCACATGAAAAAAGGACATTGTGTGTTCATTTTGTGTTCCACATAAAGAAAATACTCAAAATGCTTTCCTATTATTATTATTGTTATAGATGAGTAAAGATGGGATGAGATAGATAGGACTGTGGTCTTTTTACCTGCAAAGTAAGTCTACAAAATAATAATGATGTTTGACTTAGAGATTTCGTAGGATCATATTAATCTGCAGTGGATTATTTGAAAAAACGAAGGTAAATGAAAAGCTTAGATGTGAAAGCATCACATTCAAAGAGTCTGAAAGGGGAAATAGAAAACAGAACAAAGTAAAAAGCAAAAACCTCTTAAAGTGCTCCAAGCAAGGTAAACACAGCTTTTCATCTGTGCATTATAGCAAAAGCAGTAATATGACTTGCAGTGAAAAAAAGACAAAACTTGTTTCCCGAGGACTTTGACTTTCCGCATGACAAAGTGAAATGAAAAAGGACCTGAATGATCAAATTTCCCAAAAACATTTTCAGGTAGATGGCACAGACATTGTTCAGTCTTGATAGCGTCACAGCAGGGTGTATTACATTACATAGTATTTAATGGCAGTTTCACTGAAGTCACAGTATTAAAAATCAAATAACACCTTATGAGCTCATAAGAATAAATGAGATTGCTTCTAAATCCCTAAAGAAAAACAATAGGATTAAAGCTTCGGTTATTTGGAGGTAAATACAGATCTTTTTGTCTGTGTAGTGCCGACATGCTTCTCATATTTTGTAAATAATCCTGAAAGACTTGATTTGCTGGATCTGGTTTGGTTAATTATGGTTTGAGTTAAACTAGAGAGGGTGGGAGTTAAAGGATTAAAACGAATTCCACAACAATGTCTTCAGTTGGATTCAGTTGCCTTTCATCACAATTTACTCTTGAGCTCCATCACTTTCTGTTTGAGTTGTGACAGTTTCGTAGAAATGCATACAAGGTTGCACACACTGTACTATCTGATACTTTTTTTATTCCTTTGGCTTAGTCCCTTTATTAATCAGGGGTCGCCACAGCGGAATAAACTGCCAACTTATCCAGCATAAGTTTTACACAGCGAATGGCCTTCCAGCTGCAACCCAGTACTGCGAAACATCTATACACACTCATTCACACACAAACTCATTAATCCATTTTTTTTCGGCTTAGTCCCTTTATCAATCTGGGGTCGCCACAGTGGAATGAACCACCAACTTGCTGAGGCTCGAACCAGCAACCTTCTTGCTGTGGGGCTACAGCACTACCTATCAATGCAAATCTTGAGATTTTTTTGGGGCAACTTAATTGTTTATTGTTCAATCCACTTACATCCACATACGGGAGTCCCGTATTACGTCTCTGAGTGTGTTGCATTGATTCATGAGTATGGCTTGGTTCAAACCAATCAGCGCGCTCTATTATGTATGCCCTGCAACTACATTAATATGCATGCTAGCTTTCTTAGACTGTACCTGAAACAGTGTTCAGATGGCAGAGAGACGGCACACGTCGTGTTGCCAAAAAAAGTGGGAAAAGAATAAGAAATGTTTGGAGATACTGGTCGTCAGTGATGCTTTTATAATGTGCTGCAGGGAAGCTTTTGTTTTCATCTTCTCTCTATGAGAGCGCTGCTGGACTCGCGTGTGGATCCGTGCACGCGACGCGCAGCAGAAATACGTTTGTTTGGAACATTTTTTACTCGAGAGCATTTCTCATATGAAAATTGTGAAATCCGGATTTGCCACTCGTCTCCTTTAAAAAAAGACGAAACTTTAGTATGTGCTGATTGTCCTGTCTACAGATTTGGTAAATGTGTGTGATCAGTGCCCTTTCTTTGTTCTCACGTGAACACTGTAAGCAAACTATTGCCGACCGTCGTGTTTAATTTTTGCCGCATTTTGTGACAGGATAGTCTACACACACGGCTTTCTGACCTACTAAGTGCTTCTGAGTTACAGAGAAATGCAGAGGTTTTTTTCTCTTATACGACGTGCAGTATCAAACATTTCACCATCATTAAACACACTGTCTTTCTCCCCTGCGTGTGTATTTGTTTTTCCTTGGTCCACAGCGCGTGCCCAAATGGCAACTCCTATTTTCATTCAAACCCTTTCCATTTTCGCTCTCCTGACATTCCCACCCAAACAGAGTTAAATACACTCACTTTCCTCATGGCCCTTTAAGCCTTAACTGACTTAATGAGAATGATGTTTTTTAATGAAATCCCTTTATATTTTACTTCACACCTTTCCTCCATTGATTGACGTCCATTCAGAATGCAAATTTGATGCCCCTGGTATAAATGAAAAGTTGAATCGGATCTTCTCTCAGGACCTGAAGTGGGACACTCACATTGACTTTATTGTCAAAAAAGCTCAACAGAAGCTGTACTTCCTTCATCAGCTGGAGAAGTTTAACCTTCCAAAGGAGCTGCTGAAAGGGTTCTACACTTCCATCACTGAATCAGTCCTCCCCTGCAGAAAAATCCATCTTAAACCAGCCTAGGCTGGTTGGCTGGTTTTAGCTGGTTGACCAGTCTGGTTTTAGAGGGTTTTGGCCATTTCCAGGCTGGTTTCCAGCCATTTCCAGTCTGGTCTTAGCTGGTCAGGCCTGAAAATGACCAGCTAAAACTAGCTTCACCAGCCTGGTTTAAGCTGGACATAGCTGGTTTTGGCTGGACTCCTAGCCTTTCTAGGTTGATCAAGCTGGTTTTAGCTGGTCATCTCCCAGCCTGACCAGCTAAGACCAGCCTGGAAATGGCTGTAAACCAGCCTGGAAATGGCCAAAACCCCTCTAAAACCAGGCTGGTCAACCAGCTAAAACCAGCCAACCAGCCTAGGCTGGTTTAAGCTGGATTTTTCTGTGGGGTCTGCACTTCAATAACTGTCTGGTTTAGTTTAGCTACCAAATCTGACCTCGGAAGGCTATGTTTTATAGTTCAGACTGCTGAGCAAATCACTGGTACAACCCTCCCTACTCTGCAAGAACTTTACTTTTCCAGAGCGAGCAGAAGGGCTGCCAAAATCACTCTGGACCCCTCACACCCAGCACACTGCTTCTTTGAACTTTTACCCTCTGGTCGATGCTACAGAGCACTGCGCACCAGAACAGCCCGACACAGAAACAGTTGCTTCCCTCAAGCAATCCATCTCATAAATGTGAAACAAAACATCACTTTTTATACACATATACACTTATTTACCTAACAACATACTTTACATGCCGATTTGCACATAACATCGGCACATATAACATTGCATATAGTAATATACCTGTAGATACACTTGTCAGTTTGTATATTTGCATTCACTACTTCTGTTTCTAAAATATATTTAATATCTTTTTTTTTGTCCTGTCTCTGTAATTCTGTTGCACTGTTGAAGCTCTGTCATGAAAACAAATTTCTCATTTGTGCGAACATACCTCACGATAAAGCTCTTTCTGATTCTTTGTTGTTGTCACCACACTTTTTACACATTTACTCATGATGACCATACTGAACTTTATTACAGTAGATAATTAAAGGGATAGTTCACCCAAAAACTGGAAATTCAGTCATCATTTACTCTCCCTTTATTCGTTGCAAACCTGTTTGAGTTTCTTTGTTCTGTTGAAAACTAAAGAAAATAACCATTGACATCCATTGTGCGAAAACAAATACTATGATGAAAGTGAGTACATAATGAAAGCATTTGTGTTTAGTGTGAACTATACCTTTAAATTCCATAGTATTTGTTTTTCTAACTGTTAATGTCAGTGGTTACGGGTTTGTAGCTTTCTTTAAAACATCTTTTGTGTTCAAGTGAAGAAAGAAACTCAGAGATTATAACCACTTGAGGGGGAGTAAATAGTGATTCCTTTTAATATA